ATACAGAAACAAGGAAGGGAGGGAACGCAGGGGATGGAGAGGGTGCAAGCAGGGGGAAGATTGATGAAAGGCACAGGCAAAACAGAGGACAAGCAACAGGGAGAAAAGGAGGCGAAGAGGGGGGGGAAAAGAGGAGTAGCAGTGGGGGAAATGAAGGCACACATTGGGGGAAACCGAGAGCAATGGGGAAGAAAAGGGAGAAACGGGGGGGCGGAGGGAAGGGAACGAGGGGTTGGATTGGAAAGGGGAAATAAGGGAAAGGAGGCGGGGACATGAGGAGAAGAGAAGGGAGAAGGGAGGGCAGGGATGAGTGAGGGGGATAGGGGGAGAGCGGGGGAGAAAGGGAGAGAGGAGGACGGGGGGAGAGAGGAGGATAGTGGGGGACAAGATGCGAGAGGAGAGGAGGGACGAGAGAGGGGGGAAAGGAGGAGAGAGGGAGGATGGGATGAGAGAGGGGAGGAAGGGATGAGAGAGGGAGAAAGGGATGAGAGAGGGGTAGATGGGATGAGAGACGGGAGGACAACATGAGCTTGAGAGGAATGGGTGAGAGAGGGGAGGAATGGGTGAGAGAGGGGAGGAAGGGATGATAGAGGGGAGGAAGGGATGATATAGGGGAGGAAGGGATGATAGGGGAGGAAGGGCTGATAGGGGAGGAAGGGATGATAGGGGAGGAAGGGATGATAGGGGAGGAAGGGATGATAGGGGAGGAAGGGATGATAGGGGAGAAGAGGGTAATCAAGGGGGGGAAATACGGGGAAGAAGGGTGAAAAAAAGTGGGTGTCCAGGTGGGGCAAGATGGGAAGAAGGTGATAAAAAAAAAAAGGAAGGTAAAGTTTTGGCATGGGAACAGCTAAATAGAGGGAAGGGAGGGTACGGAGGGAGCTGACGGAGCACGTGTAGCGGGGTGAGGAGATTGGACACGGGGGGAAGGAGGGGGGGATCGAGGAAAATGAGTGCAACGGCGAGGCGGCGGTGTAAGCGAGGGCGTTTGAGGCGGCGATGCAGCAGGTGGCGAGCTAGAGGAGGCACGTTGTTGAGGAGGCGAGGCGGCGAGGAGGCGATGTGCCGGCGATGCGACGATGTTGCGGCAACGCGGTGGCGGCTCGGAGAGCTCGCGATGTGGCGGCGCGCCACGACGGCGATATGGAAGCGTAGTGGCGAGACGGCGATGTGGGCGCGATTTAATCGCGCTGTGACGAGTCGGTGTTGTGGTGGCGATGAGAAGGCGAGGTTGCCATTTTGGCGGCAGTGAGGAGACGAGGCGGCACTGGAGGTCGCACGGCCTGGGTGTGACGCAGAGCGGGGGCTCGCATTTGGCGGGGAGGCGAGAGGCTACGCCGCACTAAACCCGGCGAGTGGGGGAGTCGTGAGAGATTGCGACACGGCGTTCCCACAGCCACAACGGGAGAACGACGAGTCGGTTGCTAGACGAAGACGCGCTCTAGCCGTGCTATCTCCGTTCGCATCCGATGACGCAAACCTAATACCGTAGAGTGTCAAACATATATGCTGGATATTGTCTAGGCTGTAGTGGGGTAGCCCATATGGGGTACAGCCCAATTAGGGTTTACTACTTGTACTCCTGCATGCTACTAGTTCATTCATTCCTGCTGCTAGATTCTGACATGGTATCAGAGCACTAAGGTCCGTAGGACCGTCAGCCGGCTGTCCCCAGCGCACACCTCGTAGTCCGTCGTCCTTCCTCTGCTCCGCAGCCTGTTCCTCTGCCGTCTCCTCCTGCGTCCTCGTTGCCTGACGTTCCGGACCCTGCGTCTGACCGGTTTCGTGCTGAGCACCCTACTGTCACGCGTCTACTAGCCACAGTTGTCACTGACCCGTCGTTTGAGTCTGCTGCTGCGTCTGCTCTTGTCGCTGAGCTTGTTGACTTTGCTGCTGCCTGTCGTCTAGACTTCACTGCCAGTCTTGTTACTGAGTCTGAGTCTGTCTGTCCTCCGTCCGTCGGGGGTGAGTGTGCTCTTAGCACGGACGTCCTTGAGGACAGGCAGGAGGAGTTCCAGTGTCTCGCTGCTGCTTTACCTCATCTTGTGTCCTCGCTACTTGCCCCTGAGGGAGACCCGGATGCACCAGACATCCCGACTCCGCGCTCTTACGCAGAGGCGATAGAGGGTCCCTACTCCTCTCAGTGGCAGGCAGCCATGGACGCAGAGATGGCTTCCTGGAAGTCCACTGGCACCTATGTCGACGAGGTTCCCCCACCTGGGGCGAACATCGTCAGTGGCATGTGGATTTTCAGGGTGAAGCGGCCGCCGGGTTCTCCGCCTGTCTTCAAGGCGCGCTACGTGGCTCGAGGCTTCAGTCAGCGAGAGGGAGTTGACTTCTTCCAGACCTTCTCCCCCACCCCGAAGATGACCACTCTTCGGGTGCTGCTGCATGTTGCTGCTCACCGTGACTACGAGCTTCACTCTCTTGACTTCAGCACAGCTTTCTTACAAGGCAGCCTGCACGAGGAGATCTGGCTGCGCCGCCCCCCGGGCTTCACTGGGTCGTTCCCTCCTGGCACCCAGTGGAGCCTCCGGCGGCCGGTCTACGGTCTCCGCCAGGCACCACGTGAGTGGCACGACACACTGAGGACTACGCTTGCGGCTCTTGGGTTTGCGCCTTCTACTGCTGACCCGTCGCTGTTTCTGCGCACCGACACTTCACTGCCGCCGTTCTACATCCTCGTGTACGTCGACGACTTGGTTTTTGCCACTGCTGACACTGAGGCTCTCGCCCACGTGAAGTCGGAGCTGCAGAAGAGACACACGTGCACAGACTTGGGTGAGCTGCGCAGCTACCTTGGCTTGCAGATCACCCGGGACCGAGCACGCCGCACCATCACCTTGACTCAGTCACACATGGTGCAGCAGGTCCTTCAGCGCTTCGGCTTCACCTGGTCTTCAGCACAGGCCACTCCTCTGGCTACAGGTCACACGCTCTCAGCTCCACCTTCGGACGAGTCCGTAGAGCCGAGTGGTCCTTACCCAGAGCTAGTCGGCTGCCTCATGTACCTGATGACTTGCACTCGACCTGACCTCGCGTACCCTCTTGGTCTTCTGGCTCGCTACGTGGCTCCTGGTCGGCACCGACCTGAGCACATGGCTGCTGCTAAGAGGGTACTGCGCTACTTGTGCAGCACATCAGGCATGGGGCTAGTGCTTGGAGGGACGAGCCCAGTTGTCCTCACTGGGCACTCAGACGCTTCTTGGGTTGACGACCTGGCTACTCAGCGGTCGTCACAGGGTTACACCTTCAGCCTTGGCTCTGGTTCAGTTTCGTGGCGTTCTACACGCTCGTCTTCAGTTCTCAGCTCCAGTTGTGAGGCTGAGATCTACGCCACAGCCATGGCTGCACAGGAGTTACGCTGGCTCACCTACCTGCTGACTGACTTGGGAGAGCAGCCTCGTTCTCCTCCAGTGCTGTACGTCGACAACAAGGCCGCCATTGCCTTGTGTGAGGAGCACAGACTGGAGCACAAAACGAAGCACATTGCTCTGCGTTACTTCCTGGCTCGAGAGTTGCAGCAGCGAGGCCAGCTTCGTCTTCGTCACGTGGCCACTCGGGCCAACACTGCTGATATATTCACCAAGGCACTTCCGTCTGGTGATCATCAGCGCTTTTGTACCCTGTTAGGCCTTGTGCCTACGCTTCCACACTTGCTGTAGTTTCTGCTTGTACTGTGATCTATATATATACATGCATGCCTGCTCTTGCTAGGTAGTCATCACTGTACTGTTATTGTTGCATATATATCTCTGCATGTGGACTGGCCTTGTGGCCCTTTGCTTGTGCTCAGAATGTGTGGTGACGTTGAGATCCACCCTGAGCTTGCTTTGCTTCTCTTGACTGGTCGTTTGACCCCTTGTTCTCCCCCACTTTGCCTATGGGGGTGTGTCAAACATATATGCTGGATATTGTCTAGGCTGTAGTGGGGTAGCCCATATGGGGTACAGCCCAATTAGGGTTTACTACTTGTACTCCTGCATGCTGCTAGTTCATTCATTCCTGCTGCTAGATTCTGACATAGAGGACCGGACACTATGCCCTGGACTAAGTCGTAGTGGCGCGACGCTTCTATTATTAGTAGCGAAATGGCGGTATATGAGCTTGTTCAGATTGACGGGCACATGTTATCGTGTCTGCTTGGTTGTGTGATTATCACTTGAGTTCCGCCATCTCACATGCTCGTACCCCCTTTCCAACCCTCATAGTGGATATGACTGGAGAGAGTTGCGCCAGTCTTGGCGAGATGGGTTGTCCGAAATGGGTTGGCTTCGCCAGTCTTGGTTGCACAGCTCGCACCAGCTTTACAGGCCTTGGACACTTCGCCAACGAATCAGCAGGCATCAAAGGGTGTACCCTAACAATGCCCTCAAAAACCACCCTTAGGAATGTGCACCCTTGCTTTAATGGACATACTTCAAGATGTTCCACACAAAAAAATGTGGCTTCCCAGAACTGCTAGAAACAGTAAAACACACTGTTTTGTGGCAAATCCATCGCAAAATCTACCAGCAGCGGCGCTCACATGTTTTATGTAGTTGGTTGCTCTTTAAGCCCATTCTATTGCCCTGGGCATCATAAGTGGTTGTGACTAAACAATTGATACTACATATATGTAGTATCATTTGATACTACATATATGTACCTGTGACGTGCGTGTGAGGTCCTACACTTTTCAAAATACATGAATACCAGTACTGCGCTACAATCTTACTGAGTTTCAACTTCGTAAAGGATTCCAGTTTGAAGGTGGCTCATTATCAACACAAGAGGAGAAAACCATGTACACATGGACAGCAGCTACATACGCTGCAGGAAACTTTGCCACCACCCGAGTTGCCAGTAACACATAACCTATCGGTAAAATTCCTCTCCTAGAATCCAAGAACCCAAACCACAACCAAACCCGGGACCTAACCCGGAACTCTGTGCTACAAGCACACCATAACCAAGGCATAGGCTACAATTTTTGTACAGCCTCCACTCCCCTGACTAATTCAACCATTAAAGTCTGTGGGAGTGGAGGGGTCGGGGCAGAAGTCAAACGGCATCCATGCATCCTCCGCTTCTGCCGCTGCCGCTGCTGCTGCTGCTGCTTCCGCTGCATTCCACCATGCGCTCTGCATCATCGTCTCATCCCCTCCCTGCCACGCTGCCTCAGCTGCCCTCATAGCATCACCCCCTTCCTGCCCCTCGTCTCCTGCATGCCCTACCACTGTGCACATGTCCTCATCTCGATCCTTCTTGATGCTCCCCTGCCCCCCCGTCCCTGCTGTGGCCTCCGGAGTCACATATCCACCTGCCACTGCTGGTGTGTGATCCTTCTCATCCTGCTCATCCACTCTTTTCTCCGTCTTATTCAACCCGCCACACTTCGGACTGGCTTCCACAGCAGCCGGTGCTGCCCTCTGCATGCCTGCATGCTCTGTAGGCGCGTGCGATTTAACTGCACCTCCTGGCCCCTCCGTCACGCCACCAAGTGCTGCCGCCACGCCTGCAGCACCACCAGCGGCAGCCCGTCCGCCCACCTTGCCTCGTGCAGCGCTGTGAGAGTGCACGGTGGGTGGCACAGTTGGGAGGCTTTCCCTCCACCAGGAGGGGAGGGAGCCGGGGACAACGTGAGTGGCAGGGCTGGTGGTACCAGGATCGTCAGCAGCAGCAGCAGCAGTAGCAGCAGCAGCGAGTGAAGCGGGGTAGGGGGTGAGCATCTCTGGCAGCAAGACTTGGTTTTGCACCCCCATGCCTTGAGTCAGCACCATTGCCTGACTCGGTAGCATTCCCTGTGGCAGCATCACCATGCCGTTCTGTGCCATCATGGCTTGTTGCCCCACCATGCCCGGCTGTGCCATCATGGCTTGTTGCCCCACCATGCCCGGCTGTGCCATCATGCCATGCTGCCCCACCATTCCTCGGCTTTGCAGCATGGCTTGGTTAACCAGGACGGCTTGCTGTGGCAGCATGCCCCCCCCTACCATGCTCTGGTTCGGCAGAATGTTCTGGTTCGGCAGCATTGTTTGGTCCGGAGGCATGGTGTGGCTTGGGGCCAAGGCTGCCTGGGGAACCATGATCTGCTGATAGACAGGGATGGGGCGGGGGGAGGAGAAGAAGAGCGCACGAGGCACTGGCGCAGCTGCAGCGACGGGGGATGGCCCGCTTTTGAAGGACGCTGGGAAACAATCGCTGCTGCTGGGGCCGCTGGGGCCATGGCTGCTGCTGCTGCTGTTCTTATTGGTGTTGGTGTTGGTGTCGGTGTTGGTGGTAGCTGTGGCAAAAAGCAGCGCCTGCTGTTGCTGTGCTTGCAGCCGCTGCAACTGGCGCTGCTGCTGCAAGTGGTGCTGCTGTAAATGCTGCAGTTGCAGCTGCTGCTGCTGTAACTGGTATTCTTGTAACTGCTGCTGGTGCCAGTGCTGCTGCTGCTGTTGCAGCTCCCAGTTAGAGAGAGGGGAGTGAAGGGGAAGAGAGGAGGGGAGGAGGGAGTGGGGGTGGTGAGGGGAGGTGGACAATGAGGCCTGGCTGGGGAAGCGGTGGAGTGAGGGCGAGTGGGACTGGGAGAGGGAGCGCGAGTGTGAGAGCGAGCGAGAGTGGGAGAGCGAGTGTGAGTGAGAGAGCGAGTGTGAGTGGGAGAGCGAGTGTGAGAGGGACAGTGAGCGCGCATGAGGGAGTGAGTGAGGGATCGAGGAAGACTCGAGGGTGGGCGAGGATGCAATTTGGGTGAAGTGCATATCTCCTTCAACCTGTGTAGCAGAAACGGCAACAGCTGAAGGCATGGTAGCAGCTGTAGCAGCAGACGCAGAATTCACAGCAGCAGCAGCCGATGCGGCATGTGTAATGGTTGTAGCAGCAGCAGCGGCAGCAGCAGATGCTGAGTTAGTTGCAGCCGTAGCAGCAGCTGCAGCTGATGCTGCAACGTTTCCACCTGCCCCTGCTGCCGCTTGGAGTGCATGGCTCATTTTCCGGGCAGCTGAAAATTCTTCCATGTAAGGTGGCGATTGGCTGAGGGCGTCAAACAGTCGAGTGGTCAGCTCGTGCTGGACCGAGGAAGGAACAGGAAGGGCAACAGCAGAGGACCCTGATGGCAGCTGAGAGGATAGGTCGGTCTTGACTGTTTCAACTGGAGTGTGAAGCGGTTGAGAGTGGTGAGGCTGTTGAAAGCACTGTGACTGACGTGTGTCATTGCTGCTGTTGATCTGGAGCCTGTCCAGGTTTGTTGCTGCCTTGATTGCTTGTTCCTCCTCTTGATGCTGCTGCTGCTGCTCTTGCTGCTGGCGTTCCGCTGATGTCGCATCTTTCCCCTCCAGTGCCTTACGGCTCTCAGGTGCCCCACCAGGTGAATTCTCAGGTGAGTTTGGGCCAGAGCTTGTAGAAGTGGCGGCGGCAGAAGTAACAACAGCACTGGGAGCACCAGCAGCAGCAGCAGCAGCACCACCACCACCACCCGCACGAGCAACAGCAGCGGGAGAAGTGGCAGCAGCAGCATCAGCACCAGCAGCAGCAGCAGCAGCGGCGGCAGCAGCAGCAGCGGCGGGCGGAGGCACGGGGAGGCGGAAGAAATCGGCCATTCGGCGAATGAAAGCCGGGTCGTGGGCGTGCGGTGAGCCCGAGAACGACGGCGAGTGTGGCGCCGTTTTCCTCCTGGTGAGGGGGAGAGGGGAGGACCAAGAGAGGAAAAACTGGTCAGCAAAAGGAAATGCCGAGGAAGTGAGCGGTGCGGTGCGGTGCATAGTGTGCGGGGAGTGTGGGAAGGAAATCGAACCTGGCAGCGGTTTTGAAGGACGTGGACGCGTGGGGGCGCAGCCCCTCTCGTATGGCGCGCTCCACCGCCCATGCATGCGCGCCCACTCCCCCCCCATGTGCGCCCACCCCCCCTGCATGTGCCCCCCCTCTCCCCATGCTCCCCGCGCCATGCACCACCATGGTTGCACTGCTGCTGCCGCCAATAGCAGCGCGACACGTGGCGTGACTAGCGCCCATCCACATGGCACGTGCTGCTGCCTGTGCCCCTTCCATGACCTGCTGCGTGCATTGCACGCCTGCCATGCCATCCCCTCCCATCATACCCATCCCTGCCACCCCCATCCCCCCATCCATCATCATCGCTTCACCATGCAACATAGCACCGCCAGCATCATAAGCTTCCAACAGAGCATCCATCATTGCCCCATTCATCCCCCCCCCATCCATTCCCCCCCCATCCATTCCCCCCCCTCCCATGCCACCCCCATCCATCATCCGCCCATGTGCCGCTGCCCCCTCCCGCTCCTCCCACTTTCCCCCAGCAGTCAGCGCCAGTCCGCGCAACTCCTCTTCCGCCATCTCCGGCGCTTTACTAAAAGCCGCGCTTAGTCCAGCCCGCACAGCGGACCCCCCGGCAGCACCAGCAGGCTCGGCGGTAGGCCAGGGATCCGAACCTACGGGGACAGGTAATCCCCGAGGTTGCCCAGCCGTCGCTCCAGCTGCAGCAGAAACAGAAGAAGCAGTAGGAGGAGCAGGGGGAGCAGCAGCAGGGCCGGCGTGTGAGCTGGTAACCAGGTAACCAGGAGGATGATGCGGCTGGGCGAAGGACTGATGGCTGGTGATGGCGGCAGGGGAGGACAGGGCGGTGGTGGCGGTGGCGGTGGTGCCTTGGGGGGACGTGGGCGAGAGAATGGACAGCTCAGATTGGCTGTGCGCAGATCGGAGGGCTGGGTTGAGCTCCATAGAGAGCGGCTGGGTAAGGCCGTGGTAGACAGGCGCGCCCTCCTGGTCCAGGTAGCGCCTGCAGGGGGGGGGAGGGGAAAGGCGGGGGAAATGACGGGGGGAAGGTGGAAGGGGAAACGGTAGGAGTCAGCGACGCGGTGAGAGAAGGTGTGGAGCGGCGAGGAATGAGAGCAGGGGGGTGAGGGGGTGAGTGGGTGAAGGGGGGATGGGGGAAGGGGGAAGGGGGGGAGAGGGGAGGAGGGTGAGAGATTGAAGGGTGGAGGCGTATGAAGGAAAAGGATGACTTTTTGAGGATAAGAGGATCAGTTTTAGTGGAGGAAAGTGGGTTACTTCTTAAGGAGGATGAATCGGTTGCAGCAGGCCTTGTTGTCGCGGTGCGGCAGCCGCCCGGACGCCTTGAGCACGCCCCAGTGCCGCGTGCCGTAGCTGCGCACGTGATCCAATAGAATCAAATCCTCCTGCGCGGGGAAGCCGCGGGGGGTGTGGGGGGGGCGGAAGAGACGGGGAGAGGGACAGGAAGAGGGGCAAGGGGAACCGGAAGCCGTGAGCGGCAGAAGGGCCCCTTCTGGTGGGTGACCAGGAAGCAGGACAAGACGGCCGGGTAGAGCGGGACAGAGCACGTCTGAATCTCGCCCCAGCGGCGCGTACCGTAGCTGCGCACGTGATCCCATGGAATCAGATTCTCCTGCGCGGGGGAAGTTGCGGGGGAAGGGAAAGAGGTGGGAGGACTCCTCGGTCGCCCCGCCGGATAGTGTGGTTTGATGGTGCGCAGATAACGCCCAGAGGGACTCGCGACATTTCTTCAGCACGCCTCGGTGCGGCGCGGGGAGCTGTAAAAGGAGGACGAGCGGCATTGCTGCGCGCAGCATTGGGGCGGCATTGCCGCGCTACTGCGCGCGGCGCAGATAGTACGGCATAACCGCATGCGCAGCAGTGGGGCGGCAATGAAAATTACCTCAGGCGACCACCAGCGGGAGTAACTCCCCGTCGCCCCGCTGGCCTCCGCGCCGTTCGCGCTGTCCCCTGTCGGCTCGCGCGCCCCTTGCGGCGTCTCCGCTTCCGCCGATGGCGGCAATGGCGACGGCTTGTAGGCAGATCCCCCCGCCGCCGCCGCCGCGAGCGCCGCTGCTGCATCGGCGCGGTCGTCGCGCGCTGCTCGAGCGCCAAAAGCCGCCGCCGTCGCCGCGTTTCCCGCCGCCATTATCGCAGCAGCGTCGCCAGTACTGAAGCGAGTCGCAGCGATCATCGCATTGCCTCGTGCGAATGATCCACTCGCAAGATTGCTGTGAGGCGTCGTTGCTCGGCGCAGCCGTTGCCGTCGCTGTCGCCGGCGCCGCTTTCGTCGTCGCCGTCGCTGTCGCCGGCGCCGTAACTGCGGCTGAGAAAGCTCTGAGTTCGCCGAGCGACGCCGTCGCTCGACTTGGACAACAAATCCAATCTCGCCTCCCCAGCGCGGGAGGGAGCCTCACAGCCGCTCCTCACAGGCCTCTTTCGATCCAACGTTCACCGCAGTCAACGGTCGACTCGATCCAACAAACAGTCGACTCGATCGAACCAACAGTCGACTTGATCAAATCAGCAGCCGGACTTTTTTTTCGGCTGAGCGGACGTCGCCAGGGCTGTCGGGATGTCAGGACGCGAGCCGACTCCGATGAATTGTTTAAATGCAGGATGGCCTACTAGGCGGACTGTCGCGCGTGGTGCGCGTCCGCGGCTTGAGGCTTGCGGATTGCGGAGAGGATCGGAAGGTAATTCGCGATGCGAGATGGCTCAAAACGCAACGTCTTTCAGAATGTCGACGTCGGACCGTAAATTTTCAAAATGTGCGCTGCGGTGCTGCAGAAGCCTCAATCCAGTGAATTGGGCGTGGCTCAGAAGTGCAATTCAAGATGCCGGGCGTGCTCACCCACGGTAATCGTCGTCTCACTCGCCGAGTGATAGCACGCGGTGAATCGAATCGCCAGCTGAATTCAACACCCAGTCGGACTTGCGAATCGACGGGACATGCGGGGTCGCCGGATGCTCAACAGCTACGACGGGCGACGCGGGCAATGCTATCTGCAGCGGTAACTTCTGCGGAAGTAAAAAGGTGCTGTTTCTTACAAGAATACGAATCGTAGGAGCGATTGCGTAACGTAATGGTATGGCGAGAGGCGTATGGAGGAGAAAAGTTGTCGGGAAATGTGAATGGGTGGCAGAAGATCGTCCGGGCTGAGGCTGAGACTTTCGAAGACTAGAGAGTTCGAGTGGTGGCGCTGGAATGGCTGCGTTTCATTATACTGTGTATATCCGCACAGTTGCTTGCATTGCGGCGGTCTTGTTGCAAATTCTACAGAGCAGAGCAGACCAAGGCAGGACAGTTTGAAAGGCAGGAATGGTGCAGTGCATTGGTAGGGAGGGAGGGACAGATTGCTGGTCCGTGTTTGACAAGTTGCGTGGGACTGGTGTCAAATCGTGGATGTGCAAATGTGAATGCTCAAATGTTGGGGGCTGAATGGAAGAGCTGAGCTTTGAGAGATGTTTGGAGGGAGCGAGGGAGGAATGGGACTGGACGACGGGGCCGTGGCGCGCGTGGGATGAATGGGATGGAGGGGAAGGATTGGGACGGGAAAAATCTGTGGCTGAGCTGGACGAATGCTTCTTCCGGGAGACTGCTTCGCTTTGGCCCAGCGATTTTTGGGAAAGTGCAACATAGTCAAGAAGGCACTCGCATGCGACAATTCCCACAGCTGTAATGCATCCAAACAGGTTCTTATAGAGAGGGACTGGATGGAATGGAGTGGGTAAGGGTGGTGGCGACAGAGAGATTTGAGAGGAATTGCCTGAGGATTCTTATGGAGAAAACACTAGCCATTGTTTAGCGTTGTCTCCTCCGGGCAGAATTACAGTATAGAGACTTGGGAGAAAAACTGTGCAGCTTTCCAAGAGTTTCGGAGGGTGACACAGGGGACGGGGTTCGATAGCGACGAATGCGGAGAGGTGACACTGTTGCCATCTCAACGTCGAATAACCGTCGGATTGGCAAGCCAGGTTCTAGACAATCTTGCGCGATCACCTTCGTGAGAACAGCTGCAGTTGTGCGAAGACAAAGATTGGTTATGATTTGATGAGTTGGATGGATGCACCGAAGCAGGCCTTGTCTTGTACGAGATATGGGAAAATTGTTTTCCATGAAATCTGTACAGTTTGTACAGTGCATCATGACACGATAGACAACAAGAGGAGTCAGCTCGGCACATTCCGAAAGGCTGTCGATTGGCGGAAGGGAAACCCAAATTTCGAATCATGTGGCTGGCATGCCGTGTAGAAGCTACGCTTGTGTGGCTAGCTTGCAAATCGCAGCCAAGTCGACCAGGCCTGACGTCGAAGAAGAATATTCCTCTCGTGTCGCCTCGCCTCGTCGAGTCAGCGTTTGCTAATTCAAACAAAGGCAGATTTGATGCTCACAAATTGCAATTTCCACACGCAGCATCAATCTACAACGCACGGTTGTATTGAGTAGGGTAGAATATTCATTGAGCCGGATGCAAGAGGGATACTCAATTCAGCCCACAATCCATCATTGGGGAATCGACCCTGGAAAATCAAAATACAGGAATCTCCTTTTGCTACTCACATCGACGCGTCCATTCTGTAAGCAATTGTGCGATGACAAATGGCAGCCTTCTATTAGTTCCTTTTGAGAGGCAAATGTGGCATTTGCTTCCAATCGCCAACGGCCTGCGCTGCGAGGAGTTTGGCGCGAAGGACTGCTCCCATATTCGTTTTTAACTGCTCTAGAACTGTACGACAAGGTTATCTGCTCCAGAACTTCCTACATTTTCTTTTTCCATCACATGTTCCTCCGCCTTTCGGACTGTCTGAACAGCTCAGCCATATGAGGACTATCAGGTTATCGGGGCTTGCACTACAAGGACGATGGATGTTTTCCCAACTTCCAGGCATGTCCCAGTCCCCGGACCACCATCAAGCCTCGGACATTCCGAGGCATAGAGTGTAGCGTGTTAGTGACGCGAACTGACTTGCCATTTTGTGTTCGGATCTGCTTTCTTTTCTCGTCAGCTGCTACCAGTCTGATCCTGAAGTTCTTTCGCCGCCATTCACCTGTCGTCTTCCTTGTCAGTCACCCCGACATTACCTTTTCCACACAGATCGAATAAATGGTCATAGATTTTGGAACTAACTTTCATTGTTTGCTTGGACACCCTCGCCGCTGCGACGGAAGCTGGATCGAGGGGCTTGTGCTATTAGCGTTGACGAATGACACTGCATGTTCGCGAGGCAGCAGGAATTTTTTTTGCCCTTCACGGGCAGCATGCAGAGCGTCGAGCATTTTCACGAGAAGCTTATCCTGCCCGACGAGGAGTTCGCGCTTCTTGAGGCGGCAGTGGCGGCCGCGGAGCGGGAAGCCTCTGCGCGGCAAGCTGCGCGTGCGGGTAGCTCCGCGACGATTGTGGTGGGGGAACACCCGCGGGTGGACAGGAAGGCGGAGGTAGTGGGGAGAGCCCCCCACGCGCAAAACGATGCGCCGCGCCGCGGGGGCAGGAGCGGGTCTGCGGGAAGCAGCGCGGAGGAGGCGTCGCGGCGGCAGCTATCTTTAGAGACAACGCAGAAGTCGCTTTGCGGATGGATGCGACCGGAGACGCTTTTTGAGGCGCCTCGAATTTCCGAGTCGCCTTTTCAGGCTCCTCAAATGGCGGAGCCTGTGACAAGGAGGCCCCTTTTTCCGGACATTGAGGACGTGGGGAGTCGCAATGCGCTACCGGCGGAATGGACACGTGGCGTTCCTGGAGGCGCTGATGGGTGTGTGGGGGAACGCGAGGCGGGAATGGAGGCTTGGGGAATGAGTACAGAGGTTTGGGGAATGAGTACAGAGGTTCGGGGAATGAGTACAGAGGTTCGGGGAATGAGTACAGAGGTTCGGGGAATGAGTACAGAGGTTCGGGGAATGAGTACAGAGGTTCGGGGAATGAGTACAGAGGTTCGGGGAATGAGTACAGAGGATCGAGGAACGGGTTCAGAGGAGAGGGGAACGAAAGAAGAGGCGCGGGAATCCAGAGAAGGGGCGGTGGAGGTTCGGGCACGGCACGTGGCACGGCGGCCGTTGGATTGCAAGCGGAATCAACGGCTGTCCGTGACAGATATAACAGACGCGGTACTATGCGCCACGTACCTTTCCACCCCGCGCCATGTTCTTAGAATCCTCTTAATCTCCTTCCTTAACCGCCCATGTTTTCTTTCCACTATTCATTCACTCGCTCCATTGCCCAACCTGCCGATTCTCCCACTCCCCCATCCGCCCATTCCCCCATTCCCCCATCCGCCCATTCCCTCATTCCCCCATCCATCCCTGCTCACAGGAGTGGTGTGAGCAGCGGGTGGTCTTCTCTCTCGCCCGCGGCGCCCCCCCGCCAACAGCAGCAATGAGGGCGGGCGCGGAGAGGCACGCAGCGTTGGAGCGGGAGGTGGTGGAAGCAGTAGAGGTGGCCGTGCAAACCAGGGAGGACGCGTGGGCGCTCAGGCTGCTGGGGGCGGCTGCTAGAGTGCTGGCCCTGGGGGAGGGTGTGAGAGACGCGATGGGGGAGGTGATAGGTGGAGCGAGTGGCGGGGCAGGGACGGGCTGTGGGGATGTTGCTGGCGGCATAACGCGAGAAGTCTTTGTGTTAGTGCCTCCTGCCCTTCCCCACCTCCTGTTGCAATACCGTTACTTTAAATCTTGAACACCTTGTGCCTGTAGTCTGCTGCTTCTGCTTCTGCTGCCGCGTTTGTTGCTGTTTGATTCCCCAACTGGCGCGGGAAAGCGTTCTTCCTTCCCCGTCGGTTGCGTCTGTGTTCAGGTTGGGCAGGGTCCAAGGCGTGTGGGTGGTGGGCGTCATTGATGAGCTGCGTCTCGTGCGTGCTGGGCTTGTTGCACCAGATGATCGTCAGGGAAGTGCTAGGATGGAAGGCTGCAGCGCTGGCAGTCAAACAGGTCAAGCAGGACAGACGGCTAGTCAATCAGGACAGGCAGGTCAAAGGGGTCAACCGAGTCATACAAGTCCAGTGAAAAGGAAATCTGGGTGCATGGGGACCGAGGGAGAGCACATGCAGAAGAGCAAGGAGGAGAGAGCATCAGGTGGATCACAGGCGTTAGAATTTCAGCCATTGGAATCACAGCCGTTGGATTCACAGCCTTTGGAATCACAGCCATTGGATTCACAACCGATGATTTCAGGGTGCTCAATGGGATATGGTTCTGATTCACAGGCGATCAACTCTCAGTCGTCCGATGTGTCCATGATGCCTGCATCGCAACCTGCTTCCACTAGACGCCCTGGCAGGGACGGGGGCAGTAAGGGAGGCGGGGAGGGATGTGGTGGGGGAGGCGGGGAGGGAGATGGGGAGGGAGTCACGGAGGGAGGAGGAGTGGGGGAGGGCGGGAGCGGGTGGCGTGTGATGGTGGTGGATACCAAGACTCGCGTGCGGCCCCGACCCCCCAGGACTGCGCAGAGCAGGAATGCCAGGTGGGCTTGTATGCGCGGGGGGTGCATGTGGGCGTGGGAAGGGAGGGCGGGAGCAGGTGGCGTGTGATGGCCCGAGACTCACGTGTGGCCCCGGTCACCCAGGGCAGCGCAGAGCAGGAATGCCAGTTGAGCTTGTATGGGCCCCATCCGTCGCCCACATGCTCCCTGTATCATATATCCCCTTCCTGGGCTTATATATGCGCCTGCCTCGCCTTGTGTGGCACAGGCACCGTCCTCGGCCCATCCTCTTCTCTTGAGCACAATCTCTAGCTCATGAGCGGCAGCTCCCCTTACTCTCTCCCACCCGCTCTCTCCCCGCCACAGGCTGCAGCTGATGTGCTACAGCGCGCTGCTCACCACCATGGTGCAGCACCGCCTGCCTCAGGAGCGCTTCTTCTCCTTCTTCGCCTGCACCCCCACACCGCTCTCTCCCATCCCCTGCTCTCCACTGCAGGCTGCAGCTGATGTGCTACAGCGCGCTGCTCACCACCATGGTGCAGCACGGCATGCCGCAGGAGCCATTCTTCTCCTCCTTCCGCCTCCAACCCCACACCGCCCTCTTTCCGCAAGTTCTCGAGCATGCTGCAGAGGTTTTCCCGTGGAGAAAGGTGCGATAATAGGGAGGTAAGATTATGGGGAGGTGAGATGTTGGGGAGGCGAGATCATGGAAGGTGTGGTGTTGTTTTCCCCTGCCTGTAGCCTCTCTGTGTTGGTGTGTTTTAATCCTCTTGTGCTGCATGTTTCAGATCACCTGTCTCGCTGATGTCACCGCTGCGGTGTCTCACGCCTTCCAGTCGCTGCAGCCGCTGCACTCGACCCTTCTCCTACGGTGCGCGGCCTTTCTACTAGCCTTATTGCGTCAAATCTGGCATGTGTCTGCCTTGCAATGACTTGTGTATTTGCATGTCAATCACAGTCTCCTTTCTCAAAGGGACTTAAAAAAAGCCTTCTCTCTCCTGCTTGAGTTGCTGGTCTCTGTGCTGCTGTCTGCATGCAGGTACGAGTGGCAGGCCGATGGCTCGCTCATTCACGAGGACCGCTTCCCCTATGATCCCCACTGGCTGCAAGCAAGCATCTCCACGAGCCTCGAGTTCTGGCTTCGACGCCGCCGCCCTTTCACCGTGCCTCGTGAAGAGGCTTGGAAATGCTCCTGGTGCTCGTTTGCGCCAGTTTGCCGCCCGGGTTTGAGGTGGAAGGGGCAAGCCGGGCAAGGGAGCATGTCTCAGACTTGAGCTTGGGGTTTTTGTGCTTAGAGGATATTGCAGTGACATTATATTTTCACACCATACCGTATGACTGGAGCGCTCTAGCTAGCACTACTGAGTCATACAGCTAGTTAGCATCCATGCTCCCAAGTACCACACACACTAATGTACAGAATAGCTTGTTTGTACCATTGTTGGAAACAATAAGACCTAAGCGCTTCAGTCGTGTCGAAAACACCGCATCAGAAGCGAGGCAAACTACACCGAAGCACCCGCGAGTCAACCCTCGGGGGTTGAAGAGGTTGCTGGAGGTTACGCGAAGGTCAAAGGTCGCTGACCTTTGACCCGACAAGTACAGCGCGACAGTTAAGGACATACAACTGACTCGTTACAGAGCAGTTGCCCGAGTCGTACTGTATCGAACCGCAACAGCAACAGTAAAAGTAGTTATAACCGTATCCTTTGACATTCCTTACACCACTATATATTCTTGTACTTTCCTGTTATAATTAATCTACTTTGCCCTCACATACTAGCGCAAGGTGGTTCACAATTACTTCACTAAAAGCTTCCGCTATTACAATTGTCCTACCCAGAGTTCTCCCTTGAAAAGATCCTAAGGGGCTATCTCAGCCCAACATGGTATGAGAGCGGTCAGGGGAAATTCTACCTTTTCAATTCAAAGACATTACAAGACATGGCAACAAACAAGGAGAGGAGCTCTTCTAGTGGCTCCCCGGGGACTACTCCTACACCACCTCCTGCCTCTGGCCTGCAGACAGAGGAAGGCACAGCAACAAGACCTAGGGGAACGTCCACCGAGACTCTCACAAATCGCCCCACGGGCTTTGACCAGAGCATGATGGAGAAGTTTTTCTCCTTCATGTCCTTCTACGAGCAGCACCAGCAGTCGGGACCTGCACAGACACACAACAGCAACAACGGAGTGACACCCATGAGCCTTGATGGGTCGTCATACGCGCGCGGAAATCAACAGCAGCAACCTACCTTCGCCCCGTACGAACGCGGGTCAATCAGCTTCATGCCGCAGTCTTCGCCTGCACAAGACAAATCACTGGACGCGTTACAAGTACAGTCGCAATTCGCACACGTTTTGAAGCTTCAGACGTCAAGACCATTCGACGGAAAGGACTTCTTCACCTGGTCCTTTGAGTTCGAGTTGATGATGGAGGGCGCGCAGATACTTGGCTTCTTCGACGGGTCCCTGCAATATCCAGCAAACGGCACACAGTATGAGAAGCAGCAGTACACATATCAATCGATGATGGCGTATACGATCCTACTGAGGAACTTAACACCAACCCAACAGCTAAACATTCGGTCCTACCGGGCCTTCGGCAACTCGGCGGAGCTCGCGTACAACCATCTGAAGAGCCTGTATCAAGCAACAGACAGTGTAAACCAGAGCAGGTTAATGGCGCAGCTGACAACAGTTGAGATGAAACCAGGAGAGAAAGGAATGGCATATATCAGTCGATGTCGCGAACTGCGCGACAAGCTTCTTCGATGTGGAGGATCAATCTCTGAGGACGCCTTCGTGACGGTCATCATCGGTGGCCTCGGCCCTCAGTGGCGCGCAACAAAGGCCATCCTCCGAGCCCACGGACGAATTTCTGAGGCAGCACTCTGCGCCGAAATCCACGCCGAACAGCAGGACATGGATCTGCAAGAAGAACGACACAGGAAGAAGACAACAACGTCAGAGTTTGCATTTCACACCCAACGACGACACAACAACTACAGCAACAGACAACAACAGCCGAAGCCAGTACCTCCCTTCTGTCACATCTGCAAGACTTCAGGGCACCCGCGCACGCACTGCCCGAATCGTCAACAGTCAACGACCCCGCAACGACACCTTCGACCTTCAAGCAGTCAAATTGCTTCTACGCAAGCAAATCCAACGACCCAGATCCAAGCTTCAACAACCTCAACGGGACAACCTGCGCAAGGAGCAAGAAACATCGTTAGCTGCATGGCAAGACTAAGTGACTCTTGCGTCATGGATTCACCACCTCATTACTCACCGGAAGAACAACTCGACAACACCACACCTCGTCGCGAAGCACTTCAACCAAATCCGACATACGCTGCCATCGCCCAAAACGAGCCATCCGGAAAAGACACGTGGTTCTTGGACAGTTGCTGCGGACAACACATGTGTTCTTCGGGACGCTTCGTACAGAGAGAGTATCAGCTTCAACGAGAGGTCGTCATCACCGTCGCCAATAATCAAAACCTGTACACACGACGACAAGGAATTGTACAACTTCAGTCACGGGAGACAAACGTCATTCTGCAAATGTCCAAAGTTTTAATCGCAGAAGGCCTCGGATACAACCTTCTCAGTGTGAGTCAGTTGATGGCGAAAGGCATCCACCTCGAAGCAGACAGCACTACCCAAGAATTCAAGCTGTACCACGGGAGAGGAGGTCTTTACATCGGGAAGGCAATCCTTAAAAACAACGTCTTCGTCTTGGACTTCGTTCCTGATCTCGGCACCGCTGACAGTGACGCCATAGTCAACTTTACCAACTGGACACACCCTCCGGATCTTGACCCCGACTTCAGTCCAGGCGGCTTCTGGTATTCACATACCATTCCTGAAACAGAGAGAACAAGAGCATTAGCAGCGATTCAACAATCGGCAGCAGCAGAGACAACGTCGGCAGCAGCAGAGACAACGTCGGCAGCAGCAGAGACAACGTCGGCAGCAGCAGAGACAACAACAGCAACAGCGACAACGACGACACCAGTCGCCGGTCCTTCAACGACGGCGCTCTTCAACGACGATGCACCACCAACACCTGCACAACAGCTTCAGCCAGCACCACGAGAATTTCATCACAGTCCCAACTTCACCACCGGTCTCTACTCCAACTCCGACATGTATCAGCGCTCACCCGGTCATCGCGCCAACGAAGAAATCTGGCACGCAAGAATGGGACATCCAAGCAACACTGTGTTAAACAACACAATTCGAGCAGGAGTACTCGACAAGGACTCTCTGCTTTTAACAGACGGCAGAGAACTTCAGCGAGCTCGAGGAACATGCTTCACCTGCCCCGAAGCTGACTTACCGCATCAGCCCTTCGTTTCGCATCACAACCCAAGCGCACCTGCATATGCACCACTCGAGAAAGTATACAGCGACATCTTGTACAACCGCGAACCCGGACAAAACGCGTATAACTACACCATCACCTTCATCGACGCCGCTACACGCTACGTCTGGCACCTAAACTTACCAAGTCGCGACATGGCTTTCGAGGCTTTCGTGGCATGGCTTCCAGCAGCAGAACGGGAATCGGGAGCTAAACTCAAAAGCTTCCAATCAGACGGAGGAGGAGAATACTCGTCACAGCGATTCAAGCAGTACCTGGCGGAGAAGGGAATCAAGAGACTCATCTCCCTTCCCTACGCCCATCAACAGCAGGGTGTAGCAGAAAGGATGAACAGGACTCTGCAGAACACCATGCGCAAACTGTTACGTGGCATGCGGCTACCCAACCACCAGTGGCCCGAAGCAATGGACCACGCCGTGATGCTGCACAACTTGCTTTCTTCGTCGTCACTCCCGAACAACACATCACCGCATCTGCTGTGGACAGGAAAACTGGGCAGCACAAAAATGTTACGAGTCTTCGGCTGCATGGTACAGTACCGACCCCCATCTGCACGAGCCGGCCGATTCTCCCAACGCGCACAGTGGGGACTACACCTGGGCATCGAAAAACATTACAACGCATGGAAGATCTTCGATATCAACAGCAAAGAAACAGTAGCAGCACGTGACGTGATTTTCTACGAACGACTCACACTGCCAACGTACCTTGCCAACCTGGACGAAAATCGAGACCCCACAGGCGGCTTCCGTGGCGATCGAGCCTTCGCTTCGACAGAAGACGAAGCTGACTGGGACGAGCAGAATGTGGAAGGAGCCTCGGAAGAAGCCGGACCTCTTCCCTACTGCTCAGTGGACGTACCGATGGACGAAGAAAACCCTCGCGAAAGCGTCAACGCCGAAACTTACTACCACTTCGCCGACAACGGTTACGTTACACCTGCTGAAGTCAACACCAACGAAGCAGAACGCATAGGGCCCAACTTCACACCCGATCCAGAAACTGGAGACGAAGCAGTCTATCCCGAGGACACCACACTCCCCCGCTACACACAGAGCGGACTCCAAATCCTTGGTCTCGTCACCGCGGTCCACGGCGTCAACATTCCTAAGGAGCCTGCGACAGTTCAACAGGCTCTGGGGGGGGAGCATAAGGAAAAATGGCGCGAAGCCATGGACAAGGAGCTGAAGGCATTAGAGGAACGCAACACCTGGAAAGTCGTTCCCATCGGTGTAGCGCGAAACAAGACCATTCTTACCGGGAAATGGGTCTTCCGTGTGAAGACGAAGGCCGACGGCACCATCGACAAGTTTAAAGCACGATGGGTCGTTCGCGGCTTTGACCAGGAACATGGACGAGACTTCACCGAAACCTTCGCTCCGGTCAGCCGCCACACTTCACTTCGAATTCTTCTCGCCATCGCCGCTATGAAGAAAAAGAAACTGCGCCAAATCGACGTCGCAAACGCTTTTCTCTACGCACCGGTCGATGCAGAGATTTTCGTGGAACTACCGCACGGCTCCAACACAAATTCCACGCACGTCTGCCAGCTACTAAAATCGCTTTACGGGATCAAGCAGGCACCGCGACTGTGGCAGCAGTACCTGCATACTCGTCTCATCCGCATCGGCTTCAAACAACTCCCGCACGATCAGGGCATGTACCGCCTCACGAAGAACAGCGACTACATCTTGCTAATTGTCTACGTGGACGATCTTCTCTACATCGGCTCTACCGACAGCATCACCACCTGGTTCGAAGGGGAGCTGCAGAGGGACCTCACCCTCACTGTCTCATCTACCGTCACACAGTATCTCGGACTTAACATTCGAGAAGATAACGACGCGATCTACCTCAGCGCCGAAAAGTACGCCGACGCCATCGCCAAACGATTCGGAATTACGCCAGCCGCGATTTCAACACCATACCGCTACACGACAGGAGCCGATAAGGAATCTACCCCACTTAAATCCGCCGGCATACGCAACTATCAGAGGAAGCTAGGTTGCCTTCTCTTCGCAGCCGTCACTTGCCGACCCGACCTATCCTACTCCGCAAGCCAGCTCGCCACTTATCTCAAGAAGCCTGAAGCAGAACACCTGGCGGAACTTGACCGCGCTCTGCACTACTTTATCAGCACCGCAATGATCGGCTTAACTTATCACAAGAACGCAGCTACACCAACCAAGCTAATCGGCTACGTCGATGCCGATCACGCCGGCGACACTGACAACAGACGCTCACGCACCGGCTACGTCTACCGCCTCGAGCCTATCGGTCCTATCTCCTGGCAGTCAAGCAAGCAGGAGTTAATCGCGCTATCTTCAGCTGAAGCAGAATATATCGCACTCTGCTCAGCCACCAAAGAAGGACTCTATCTTCGCGAGCTACTGGAAGAAGCGAAGTTAGCCGAGTTACCCAACTTTAACGTGTTCTGCGACAACCAGTCAGCAATTCGCATCGCCAACAAGAACGGCTTCGCGAACAGGACGAAACATATTGCCCTACGTTACTTCTTCGTGAAGGACGAGATCGAGAAGGGGAGACTCGAGCTGTCATACTGCCCCACATCCGAGATGGCAGCTGACTACTTGACCAAGAAACTCGGAAAGCAAAAGTTCGAGTATTGCATGCTGCTGACTGGACAGGGCCACGTCACCAGCAGCGACACTCCAGAAGCGAAGGGGAGTGTTGGAAACAATAAGACCTAAGCGCTTCAGTCGTGTCGAAAACACCGCATCAGAAGCGAGGCAAACTACACCGAAGCACCCGCGAGTCAACCCTCGGGGGTTGAAGAGGTTGCTGGAGGTTACGCGAAGGTCAAAGGTCGCTGACCTTTGACCCGACAAGTACAGCGCGACAGTTAAGGACATACAACTGACTCGTTACAGAGCAGTTGCCCGAGTCGTACTGTATCGAACCGCAACAGCAACAGTAAAAGTAGTTATAACCGTATCCTTTGACATTCCTTACACCACTATATATTCTTGTACTTTCCTGTTATAATTAATCTACTTTGCCCTCACATACTAGCGCAAGGTGGTTCACAATTACTTCACTAAAAGCTTCCGCTATTACAATTGTCCTACCCAGAGTTCTCCCCTGAAAAGATCCTAAGGGGCTATCTCAGCCCAACAACCATAAGAATTGGTTTGCGAGGAGAGAGTGTGAGTGTGCAGGGTACGTGAATTAGAGCACGTCAAATTTCACACGTGAAAAGCAACCTCGCTAAGAGATTTATTGTTACATTTATCGGATGCAGAACTAGTTCACTAAAGTGGTCAATACGAGTATGCACTGTTTTCTATATTACCCCAGAACTCGAGGAGTCGCGTGAGAGGTTGAATGTGATTGGTGGCGGTGAGGGCATCTGTGACGTCACGGACCACTTCTGATTGCTCGAGAGACGCACGGTGTTTGATTCATCAACGAGGGCACCATACGTTTCGCCCGTTTCGTGCACCAATCAACCTTTCTTCTGAATGCACTGCCAGGAGCCACCTGGAGGTACACCTGCGCTCTGGCATCCCGCAAATCAAGGCGCCCATCCACCCTTCTCTCCAGCCTTCCTTGCCTCCATCATCCCTACAAACCTGGCGTTGTTTCCGCGCTTCCCCCCAACCTTCCGCCACACCCTCCGTTTCCCTTCCCCCTCTTCGCCCTCGATTCCCTTCCCCTTAGGCTTGCGCCAATTCCCATTCCCACCGCGAAGATATTATGAAGGGCGCTCCTTTCCTATACAGCTCACCGCTTCGGAAAGCAGCGAAACGAACATAACCGTGGTGAATTCGCGAAAAGAGAAGTCCCACACAACCCCTGAAATTGCTGAATCATGAAAGATACCCACCGTCCAAGTGGAGATCGTCACAGTTCAGGCGCGAACGGTGAGACGGGGTCGCGAACGGCTGAGAGCGGTGATTTCAGCATACCGTTTTGAATAGCAGCGTATCGTACTCAACCGTTTTTGAAGGAACAAATTGTGGGCTCCATAACTCGCCCTCAGGAGGACAAGTCGTGTATCGCGTCTCGCTCGGGGGTCACGAGGCATCAGGATTCAGGATGAATGGAAGGCATGAAATTTGGGGGAAGTACGAACAGGTGGTTGCAAATACGCACCCCAGAAATCCTCTGACTGCCATAGCTCGTCGAGTTCAGCTTCGCTGGTCCGCTAGCTGCTACATCACCAGCGCAATTTTCACTACTGTATCGGCGGTGGACTTGGCCCGTGTATGTTACACGTAACGGTATCCGTCTTCTCCGTTACATTGAATTGACTTGCCCCCGCGCGAGACTGCAATGTCTTGGAGTCCATTCAAGTTCATCGCAACTAGAAGCGTTGGGACCGAGAATCACGCTCTTAGTACCCCTTCCGTGACCGCATCGACTCCCTCTGCGAGTCCGCTGATGGTACTGGGCTAAAGTAGACCCTATTGACGCGACAAATCTCTTGAACTTCTGATGGAATCGTCGGCTCTCGATCTCTGTTGGTCATGCAGCACAACGTAGAGATATAGCAGCCGGCCTAACAAGCGATCGACAATATCGTAGGGATTCGTCGAAGCAGATCGACGGCGGCGGCGCCGCCGCCTGTCCCGTCATCGGCTCCTCTTAAATAGTCACACTTGCAGGTTCAGCATCTTTCGGGGCGCCTCAGAAGGCGCTTCCGCCTATCCCGACTTTCGTCTCCTCTCATCTAATCACACTTGCGGGATCAGCGTCTCGCAGCCATGGGTGTGCAGGACCGGACGAAGAAGGGTGACCATGCCAAAGGTGTGTCCATCGGGGATGCCATTTCTTTCGGCACTGTTAACAAATCCAAGAGAATGACTTGCAATGTTCCGCTTTCCAGGTGGCTTTGAGTTTCAGCTAGGTTCAGGCTGACCTAATCAGTGTGTCAATGCGGCCAGTTGATTGTGCGATCATGCCACAAACGAGTCGAAAATGTGACCCATATCAGCGGGCGATTGACCGTATCAGTCCGCCTGAAACCAAGACGATTTTTTACAATGGAATTTCAAATAATTGCATGGCGACGTGGTATGCGCAGGCGGTAAGACGGTGGAGATGGGCGAAACCGGCGCGTGGCAGGCGGGCGGATTCGGCATCGACCCTGACGAACTTTCGCGAATGTCGCATCCGGGCGACTTCGCGAAATTGCAATCGCTAGGAGGAGTGAGTGGTCGTTGCTGTGTGTGTGTGTGTGTGTGTGTGTGTGTGTGTGTGTGTGTGTGTGTGTGTGTGTGTGTGTGTGTGTGTGTGTGTGTGTGTGTGTGTGTGTGTGTGTGTGTGTGTGTGTGTGTGCGCGCGCGCGCGCGCGCGTGCGCGTCTGTGTGTGCGCGCGTGTTCACGGCGCGTCTGTAGCAAGCAGAAGCTACTCTCAGATACCCCATCTCGTCATGCCAGTCACGCCGCAACATATCCCCCCTCATCCATCCCCACGCTGCACCCACCCGACCTCCACTTCCCCTCCAACCTTCCCCCTCGCCAAACCTTTCCCCTTCCTCCCCTGAACCCCCCGGGCCACTGGGCTGCGTTGTCAGTTAGCGGGGGTGGCGGAACGACCGCAGGTGGATCCGCGGCGGGGCATCAGCGGCACAGAGGAGGACAACAGCTAGTGAAGAGCTGAAGGATCCCCTTCTCCCCCTCCCCTCCCCTTCCCCCCCCCAACATCAGCTAGCGGGGGTGGCGGAGCGGCTGCAGGTGGATCCGCGGAAGGGCATCAGTGGCACGGAGGAGGACATCGCACGAGTGACGAGCTAACCCCTCATCCCCCTCCCTCCCCCTTTCCCCTCCACTGGGCTGCGTTGTCAGCTAGCGGGGGTGGCGGAGCGGCTGCAGGTGGATCCAAAGCGGGGCATCAGCGGCACGGCGGAGGACATAGCGCGGCGCCAGCTGCACTTCGGCGCCAACACGTACCCCGAGAAGCCCGGCAAGACCTTCTGGGTACGTCTCCCTGGCCCGGCACTTCCCTCTGGGTCAGCGGTCAGTGGGTCAGTGGGTCAGTGGGTCAGTGGGTCAGTGGCAGTGGGTCAGTGGGTCAGTGGCAGTGGGTCAGTGGGTTACTGGCAGTGGGTCACTGGCAGTGGGTCACTGGCAGTGGGTCACTGGCAGTGGGTCACTGGCAGTGGGTCAGTGGCAGTGGGTCAATGGCAGTGGGTCAGTGGCAGGGTCACTGTGCTGCACTTAGCCGCCAGCACGTACCCTGAGAAGCCTGGCAAGCCTTAAACCCAGAAACCTATGCCTTCGTTGCTCTCTTCCCTGTGCGGCCCACCCTGTGCCCCCCCGCGCTAAGCTGTCAGAACTAGCTGTAGAAAGTAAGAATGAAGAAAGGAGGGTTTGCACTAGCAACAATGGTGGTACAAATAGCTAACCCTAGAAGGGTTGTACTCGCTATAGAGCACCCCACTGCAGGCTAGAGCATAATATTCTGACACACCCCCATAGTCAAAGTGGGGTGTAATCAGCAGAGCAAGCAAAGTAGTACAAGCTCAGGGTGGATCACGATGTCACCACACATTCTGAGCACAAGCAAGAAGCAATAGTTTAAGGTTCACAATTATGAGCAAAGCTAGAGGCAGTCACAGGGGGCAAGTGAGGAGGAGGAGGGCTGGTGAGAGGAGAGTAGATAGGAGGCGACGACTGAAGATGCAGACACACGGGCAACAGACGGCTCTGGTGCGACAACGTGGCTACCGGGAATGAGTGCCCCGGAGTACAGGAGTAACAGGCTCCGCGGCTAATATGCGCGGCAGGAGCAACGGACCCACAGGCGACGGCGCAACCGGCTCTCTGAGCTACCGGGAATGAGTGCCCCGGAGTACAGGCGCTGCGTACGACACGACGGCAACCTCCGCTCAACCTCCCCCAACAGTCCCACACCCCTCGACACACACCCCCTGCTGCGCCCCTAGCTCCACTCCCCCTTCACCCCCCTAGGACCACTCCTTCGGCTCCCCACACAACCACCCCCCTGAGCGGCAGCTGCAGCAGCGGGAGACGGAGGAGGAGGAGAAGGAGGGGACGGGGCACACAACCGGCACCCCCACACCCGCCACCCCCACACTCCACATCCCCAAACCCTAAAACGGGTGGGATAGGGGCAGGAGCGCGGGGGACGGCGAGAGGGGGACGGACGAGGCGCGCGCAGGCTGCCCGCGCCGCGCGCTGGCCTGGCGCAGCCCGTACGGGCCGCGCGCGGGCCTGGCGCAGCCCGTACGGGCCGCGCGCGGGCTGTACGGGCCGCGCGCGGGCCTGGCGCAGCCCGTACGGGCCGCGCGCGGGTCCCAGGGGCGCTTCGACGGGCGACGGGGGCGTTTTGGCGGGCGACGGGGGGCGCTCCGACGGGCGACGGGGGCGCTTCGACGGGCGACGGGGGGAGGGCGCTTCGACGGGCGACGGGGGGCACTTCGACGGTGGGAAACCGCCGCGCGCCTCGGGGCGCACGGCGGGCAGAAAACCGCCGCGCGCCCCGAGCGCACGGCGGGATGAAAACCGCCGAAACCCTAAAAACGCCGCGCCTTGCGAGCGCGCGATAAGCAGGACAGCAGCGGAAGCATTAGGTGGTGGGCCCACCCACAGGATCGACCCAGGAGGGTCGACCTGCTCTGATAGCATGTCAGAACTAGCTGTAGAAAGTAAGAATGAAGAAAGGAGGGTTTGCACTAGCAACAATGGTGGTACAAATAGCTAACCCTAGAAGGGTTGTACTCGCTATAGAGCACCCCACTGCAGGCTAGAGCATAATATTCTGACATAAGCTTCTCCATTCTCCACGCCCGCTTGTCTCCCCACCCCATCCCCACAGTACTTGGTGTGGGAGGCGATGAACGACATGTTAGTGCAGATCCTGTTGTGTGTGCAATTGCATCCATCGCCGTCAGCACCCTCCCATTGCTCCCCACCCATTGCTCCCTCTCCGCTCCCTTCCCTCTGCGGCCCACCCTGTGCCCCTTCTCCCCCCCCCAACGGCATTACTTCGTGTGGGAGGCCATGCAGGACACATTAGTGCAGATCCTGTTCGTGTGTGCCATCGCATCCATCGCCGTCAGCATCCCCACCCATTGCTCCCTGTGTGCTTCCTCCCTTCCCTGTTCTGCCCACCCTGTATGACCCCGTGTGCCAGTACTTCGTGTGGGAGGCGATGCAGGACACATTAGTGCAGATCCTGTTTGTTTGTGCTATAGCGTCCATCGCCGTCAGCATCCCTGCAGAGGGCTCTCTGGAAGGGCTGTATGACGGGCTGGGCATCTTCATTGCGCTCTTCCTCATCATCACCGTCGCTGGTAGGTAGTGGCACTGTTGCTCGTAGGCGCTGTTGCTGGTAAAACGCGCGCACACACACACACACACCCACTTGCCACTTGGTGCCAGTGCGCCCGCTGCTACCGCCCTCTCTCCCCCATCATCCCTGGAGGGGCTGTACGACGGGCTGGGCGTCTTCATCACGCTCTTCCTCATCATCACCGTCGCTGGGAACACATGGACACACCCCCACTCCCTCCTCCCCCTTCTTCCCGCTCTTCCACTTCTCCTGTCTTCTTCAAGCATGCATCACCATCGCAACTGCATGCATCACCATCGCAACTGCATGCATCACCATCGCAACTGCATGCATCACCATCGCAACTGCATGCATCACCATCGCAACTGCATGCATCACCATCGCAACTGCATGCATCACCATCGCAACTGCATGCATCACCATCGCAACTGCATGCATCACCATCGCAACTGCATGCATCACCATCGCAACTGCATGCATCACCATCGCAACTGCATGCATCACCATCGCAACTGCATGCATCACCATCGCAACTGCATGCATCACCATCGCAACTGCATCTCTCCCTCTTGCCTCTCCATTCACTCGCAATCCATTCCGCTAATTCCCCTTTAATCCCCCCTGCGTGCGCCCATGCGTGGTGAGCAGCGATAAGCAACTACCGGCAAGCAGTGCAGTTCCAGAAGCTCAACCGCGAGAAGCAGAAGATTCAAATCGAGGTGAGAAGCAGAAGATTCAAATCGAGCTGAGAAGCAGAAGATTCAAATCGAGATGAGAAGCAGAAGATTCAAATCGAGGTGAGGTGTTGCAATGCTGCCCACTCAAAGCAGCCTCCGCTGTTCCCATCCATTTTACCATCTCGCCCTATCATGCCCTCCGCTTCTCTCCTTCTGCCACACATCGCACCCTCGCATTCGCTTCCCTCCTCCATCCCTTCATGCCCTTCCCAGCTACACACTGACATGCTCGTATAACATTACACCTCACGCCTCGTGGCCCATGCTGCTGTTGCGTGCAGGTTACACGGTCAGGGCGGCGGTGCAAGGTATGGATAGACGACCTGGTGGTGGGCGACATCATCCACCTCTCCACCGGCGACCATGTGAGTGAGCTATGCCTATGCCTGTGCTGGTGTATCCCCCTGGTACAAGGTGCTGCAAGGTGCTGCAAGGTGTGAGCCATGTCCCTGCCTAACGCTTTGTATCCCAGGGCAGTGCGTTCCATGTCATCTTGTGCTCTCCCGCATCTTGCCCGCACCACACCACACGCCGTCTGGAAAAGTATCAAGTCATGTCGCGAGGGTCACCTAACGCAAAGCCTCCTAACTGATGTGCACCCTCTTCCCTCTCATGTCTCGACATGGGGCACATGGGGCACATGGGGCACATGGGGCACATGGGGCACATGGGGCACATGGGGCACATGGGGCACATGGGGCACATGGGGCACATGGGGCACATGGGTGCATAAGCGCACGGGGGCATGGGGATGCACATGGGTGCATGGGTGCATGAGCGCATGGGCGCATGGGGATGCATATGGGTGCATGAAAAAGGACAGGTACCAACGGATGGGGTGGTGATGGAGGGGCACTCGCTGGCTGTCAACGAGTCCAGCATTACCGGGGAGTCCGAAAATGTGAGTGCTGCCCTTTTTTAGTGCTTCCCTTTTTTAGTGCTGCCCTTTTTGATTGCTCCCTTTTTGAGTGTCGCCCTTTTGAGTGCCGCCCTTTTAAGTGCCGCCCTACCATGGGCCGCACTGACACGACACCTGCAATTAGTGAACACGTCTGTGACATCGCATGCTGCTGCCGTGCTGTGTTGGTGCGCTGTGCTGTGCTGTGCCGTGCCGTGTGTTGTGCTGCTGCTGTGCTGCGCTGTGGTGTGGCGTGATGTGGTGTGCTGTACGGTGATGTGGTGTGGTGTGGTGTGCTGTGGTGTGGCAGATGCACAAGGACGAGGCCAACCCCTTCGTTCTCGCGGGCTGCACCATCATGGATGGATTCGGCGAGATGATGGTGAGACGCTGCTGAACCGCTTCTATGCAAACTGTCAGGGCTTCGACCATGTATGTCAAACTTTGAACCTCTGGTCCCTCGATTTTGGTTACACTCGAACCAAACCAGCTCACTTCAATGAATTGTTTCTGCCAGTACGAGTTTGGTTATTGCTCATGTCTACCGGCCATCTTATCTGCCTGTGTGTGTGTGCGTGCCTGCGTGCATGACACGACACCTCCTCCCACCATGTGTGTGTGCGTGCGTGCGTGCATGACACGACACCTCCTCCCACCATGTGTGTGCGTGCCTGCGTGCATGACACGACACCTCCTCCCACCATGTGTGTGTGCGTGCCTGCGTGCATGACACGACACCTCCTCCCACCATGTGTGTGCGTGCCTGCGTGCATGACACGACACCTCCTCCCACCATGTCTGTGTGCGTGCCTGCGTGCATGACACGACACCTCCTCCCACCATGTGTGTGTGCGTGCCTGCGTGCATGACACGACACCTCTTCCCACCATGTGTGTGTGCGTGCCTGCGTGCATGACACGACACCTCCTCCCACCATGTGTGTGTGCGTGCCTGCGTGCATGACACGACACCTCCTTCCACCATGTGTGTGTGCGTGCGTGCGTGCATGACACGACACCTCCTCCCACCATGTGTGTGTGCGTGCCTGCGTGCATGACACGACACCTCCTCCCACCATGTGTTTGTGCGTGCGTGCGTGCATGACACGACACCTCCTCCCACCATGTGTGTGTGCGTGCGTGCGTGCATGACACGACACCTCCTCCCACCATGTGTGTGTGCGTGCGTGCGTGCATGACACGACACCTCCTCCCACCATGTGTGTGTGCGTGCGTGCGTGCATGACACGACACCTCCTCCCACCATGTGTGTGTGCGTGCCTGCGTGCATGACACAACACCTCCTCCCACCATGTGTGTGTGCGTGCATGCGTGCATGACACGACACCTCCTCCCACCATGTGTGTGTGCGTGCGTGCGTGCATGACACGACACCTCCTCCCACCATGTGTGTGTGCGTGCCTGCGTGCATGACACGACACCTCCTCCCACCATGTGTGTGTGCGTGCGTGCGTGCATGACACGACACCTCCTCCCACCATGTGTGTGTGCGTGCCTGCGTGCATGACACGACACCTCCTCCCACCATGTGTGTGTGCGTGCGTGCGTGCATGACACGACACCTCCTCCCACCATGTGTGTGTGCGTGCCTGCGTGCATGACACGACACCTCCTCCCACCATGTGTGTGTGCGTGCGTGCGTGCATGACACGACACCTCCTCCCACCATGTGTGTGTGCGTGCGTGCGTGCATGACACGACACCTCCTCCCACCATGTGTGTGTGCGTGCGTGCGTGCATGACACGACACCTCCTCCCACCATGTGTGTGTGCGTGCGTGCGTGCATGACACGACACCTCCTCCCACCATGTGTGTGTGCGTGCGTGCGTGCATGACACGACACCTCCTCCCACCATGTGTGTGTGCGTGCGTGCGTGCATGACACGACACCTCCTCCCACCATGTGTGTGTGCGTGCGTGCGTGCATGACACGACACCTCCTCCCACCATGTGTGTGTGCGTGCGTGCGTGCATGACACGGCACCTCTTCCCACCATGTGTGTGTGCGTGCCTGCGTGCATGACACGACACCTCCTCCCACCATGTGTGTGTGCGTGCGTGCGTGCATGACACGACACCTCCTCCCACCATGTGTGTGTGCGTGCGTGCGTGCATGACACGACACCTCCTCCCACCATGTGTGTGTGCGTGCGTGCGTGCATGACACGACACCTCCTCCCACCATGTGTGTGTGTGCGTGCGTGCGTGCATGACACGACACCTCCTCCCACCATGTGTGTGTGCGTGCGTGCGTGCATGACACGACACCTCCTCCCACCATGTGTGTGTGCGTGCGTGCGTGCATGACACGACACCTCCTCCCACCATGTGTGTGTGCGTGCGTGCGTGCATGACACGACACCTCCTCCCACCATGTGTGTGTGCGTGCGTGCGTGCATGACACGACACCTCCTCCCACCATGTGTGTGTGCGTGCGTGCGTGCATGACACGACACCTCCTCCCACCATGTGTGTGTGCGTGCGTGCGTGCATGACACGACACCTCCTCCCACCATGTGTGTGTGCGTGCGTGCGTGCATGACACGACACCTCCTCCCACCATGTGTGTGTGCGTGCCTGCGTGCATGACACGACACCTCCTCCCACCATGTGTGTGTGCGTGCGTGCGTGCATGACACGACACCTCCTCCCACCATGTGTGTGTGCGTGCGTGCGTGCATGACACGACACCTCCTCCCACCATGTGTGTGTGCGTGCGTGCGTGCATGACACGACACCTCCTCCCACCATGTGTGTGTGCGTGCGTGCGTGCATGACACGACACCTCCTCCAACCATGTGTGTGTGCGTGCGTGCGTGCATGACACGACACCTCTTCCCACCATGTGTGTGTGCGTGCCTGCGTGCATGACACGACACCTCCTCCCACCATGTGTGTGTGCGTGCGTGCGTGCATGACACGACACCTCCTCCCACCATGTGTGTGTGCGTCCGTGCGTGCATGACACGACACCTCCTCCCACCATGTGTGTGTGCGTGCGTGCGTGCATGACACGACACCTCCTCCCACCATGTGTGTGTGCGTGCGTGCGTGCATGACACGGCACCTCTTCCCACCATGTGTGTGTGCGTGCCTGCGTGCATGACACGACACCTCCTCCCACCATGTGTGTGTGCGTGCGTGCGTGCATGACACGACACCTCCTCCCACCATGTGTGTGTGCGTGCGTGCGTGCATGACACGACACCTCCTCCCACCATGTGTGTGTGCGTGCGTGCGTGCATGACACGACACCTCCTCCCACCATGTGTGTGTGTGTGCGTGCGTGCGTGCATGACACGACACCTCCTCCCACCATGTGTGTGTGCGTGCGTGCGTGCATGACACGACACCTCCTCCCACCATGTGTGTGTGCGTGCGTGCGTGCATGACACGACACCTCCTCCCACCATGTGTGTGTGCGTGCGTGCGTGCATGACACGACACCTCCTCCCACCATGTGTGTGTGCGTGCGTGCGTGCATGACACGACACCTCCTCCCACCATGTGTGTGTGCGTGCGTGCGTGCATGACACGACACCTCCTCCCACCATGTGTGTGTGCGTGCGTGCGTGCATGACACGACACCTCCTCCCACCATGTGTGTGTGCGTGCGTGCGTGCATGACACGACACCTCCTCCCACCATGTGTGTGTGCGTGCGTGCGTGCGTGCATGTCACGACACCTCCTCCCACCATGTGTGTGTGCGTGCGTGCGTGCATGACACGACACCTCCTCCCACCATGTGTGTGTGCGTGCCTGCGTGCATGACACGACACCTCCTCCCACCATGTGTGTGTGCGTGCGTGCGTGCATGACACGACACCTCCTCCCACCATGTGTGTGTGCGTGCGTGCGTGCATGACACGACACCTCCTCCCACCATGTGTGTGTGCGTGCGTGCGTGCATGACACGACACCTCCTCCCACCATGTGTGTGTGCGTTCCTGCGTGCATGACACGACACCTCCTCCCACCATGTGTGTGTGCGTGCATGACACCTCTTCCCACCATGTGTGTGTGCGTGCATGACACCTCTTCCCACCATGTGTGTGTGCGTGCTTGACACCTCTTCCCACCATGTGTGTGTGCGTGCATGACACCTCTTCCCACCATGTGTGTGTGCGTGCATGACACCTCTTCCCACCATGTGTGTGTGCGTGCCTGCATGCATGCATGGTGAGCAGGTGACAGCAGTGGGCATGAGGACGGAGTGGGGCAAGGTGCTAACAACCATCACAGAGGACAGCGACGAGCCCACACCGCTGCAGGTTATAAGTGGGGTGGGGAGTGAGGAGCGAGGCAGGCAGAGCAGCGGTGTGGGCGAGTGATTGACTGATAAAGGTTCTATCGGTCAAGGTGGGCAACCATCACAGAGGACAGCGATGAGCCCACCCCGCTGCAGGTCAGTGGGCTGTGTGGCGGGTCTAGTGCTCGCTCGCTGCTGCAATGCTCGCACAGTGCTGCAGGTGGGAGGGGCAAGGCAGGCACTGGCATGGTTAGGTTAGCCCCATGCGGCAGCGGACCAAGGTGGCGGGGCTGCTGGGCATCACGAGAAACGCTTCCTGCACGAAAGGCACACTTGGGTAGCCTTGAGCACCACACGCACACCACGCCTCTCGCTGCCATGCCCTGCCCTCCACCAGGTGCGGCTGACCAAGGTGGCAGAGCTGCTGGGCATCACGAAAATTTTCCAGCACTTTTAAGGCGACACTGCTAGGTTGGTGTGGTTCGAGCCCGTCTGTTCGCTTCTCCCCCTCCTTCCCCTCTCCACCAGGTGCGGCTGACCAAGGTGGCAGAGCTGCTGGGCATCACGAAAATTTTCCAGCACTTTTAAGGCGACACTGCTAGGTTGGTGTGGTTCGAGCCCGTCTGTTCGCTTCTCCCCCTCCTTCCCCTCTCCACCAGGTGCGGCTGACCAAGGTGGCAGAGCTGCTGGGCATCATGGGCATCACTGTGGGCGTGCTCATCTTCCTCATCCTCAGTATAAGGTGCGCTCTTACTCGGTATAAGGTGCTGCTCGTCTCGTATTCTATGCAAAGGTCTCTCGCATACTTGGGAGATCACGGGAGCACCATATTGTCGTCAGCAATGACAGAAGAAAGTGAAGATTGTTAAGGTGCATGCGTTTCAGTGCACTCTATGGAGTCTCGTAATGAGCCACACCACACCACACCCCACCACACCGCACCACACCGCACCACACCCCACAGGTACCTGGTGACGGATGCAGACTTCAGCAACTTCAATGCCAGTGACGTCAATGTGCTGCTTAGCTACTTCACCATCGCGGTATGCCCTCGACCCTCCCTCAACCTCTCACTCTCTATTGCCACCAAGTGCTGTATGCTCGCACTGCAACCCTGCAATATCGCACTGAAACCCTGCAATATCGCACTGCAACTCTGCAACATGGTATGGAAATCACTGCACCCCTTCTTTCCGACCCCTCCCTTTCCTCTCGTTCGCCTATACCCACTCCCCTATCAGATCACGGTGCTGGTCATTGCAGTGCCAGAGGGCCTCCCCCTCGCAGTCACTCTCACGTAAGCTCATAAACACGTGCATGAGTGCAAGCATGTTTGCGCGACGAAAGCATTTCCCCGAAAGCAAGCCTTGCCCCTGAGCAAGCAGTCCGTACGAAAAAAAACATAAATCCCTCCTGTGTGTGCCGCCTGTTTACCTCACTTCCCTGGCCATCCACCCATCCTTCCTCCCACCTCTCTCCTCACCCTCCTTGCTTCCCCCCTCCCATGCGCTGCGTACCAGGCTGGCATTCTCGGTGACCAAGATGATGGAGGACAAGTCACTGGTGAGCTTGTACTCACGCCTCTTTAATGGTCCTTTCATTGATACAGACGGAGTACACGCATACAGGAGATATTGGGTTTAGGGTTTAGGGTACAAGTCACTGGTGAGCTCGTACTCACGCCTCTCTCTCTCCTTCCCCTCGCTGCTCATGCCTGCTGCCATTTGCTGTTCTTTCTCTGCTGTTGGCGCGCTGCTCTTCGGTGCATTGCAGTCTGCTCATCAGTGCATTGCAATCTGCTCATCAGTGCATTGCAATCTGCTCATCAGTGCATTGCAATCTGCTCATCAGTGCATTGCAATCTGCTCATCAGTGCATTGCAGTCTGCTCATCAGTGCATTGCAATCTGCTCATCAGTGCATTGCAATCTGCTCATCAGTGCATTGCAATCTGCTCATCAGTGCATTGCAATCTGCTCATCAGTGCATTGCAATCTGCTCATCAGTGCATTGCAATTTGCTCATCGGTGCATTGCAATCTGCTCATCACATGCGCCCCGTGTGCCATATGCCCTGTCTTTCTGCCTGCCCGCCCCCACCAGGTGCGGCATCTACAGTCGTGTGAGACCATGGGGTGCGCCACCACCATCTGCAGTGACAAGACCGGCACGCTCACTCTCAACGAGGTAACTTTTCCCCCTCCGCACTCCCGCACTTGCCTCTCTTTCACACTACCACACACACACACTCCCTCACACTCAGTCATATGTTATGCACAGTCCACACGTGCTCATCTGCATACATCTGCTCTCACTCACTGGCCTGCTCGAGCAAGTTCGGCGCCTCTCATTCTCTCTCATCTTCTCTCACACCAGCCGTTCCGTCTCACCTCTCACCCCCTCTTCTATTCGCGCCTCCCATTCCGCTGCGCCTCCCATGCGCCCCCCTTCCCCCCACACAGATGACAGTGGTGCAGGCGTGGGTGGCAGGCGACTTCCACAAGCCCCACACCGTCCGCACTGGGGTCTCCACACCCGTCGCTCAGGTAAGCCTGCCTCAGGTACAACCATGCCTCAGGTACACCCATGCCTCAGATATGCCTTGTCTGCTGCTGCTGCTGCTGCTGCTGCTGCTGCTGCTGCTGCTGCTGCTACGTCTGTCACATCTCCCCACCTCACCTCTCTCTTCCCCGTGCCACCTACCTCGGCTGCCTGTCAATGCCTCGTGATTCAACACGTCTCACGCGCCTGGGTCCTCCTCTCCCCCTTTACCATGTCTCTGTTCCCTCACCCAACAGCTGCTGTACCAGGCCATCGCAGTCAACACCAGTGGATCCGTCGATGAGCCTCCGGTACCCTCCCTCTTCCTCACTTCGCTCTCCTCCACACCACCCTGCCTTGCTAGTCACGCTGCTCTGCTCACATCGCCTCTCACAGCCCCACTTCTGCCTCACCTCAATTCTTCTCTCCTCATCATTCACAACCCAACCCTTCCCCACCTTTCCCTTCCTCGCTCCTCCTCCTTCCACTCTGCTCCTCCTCTCTCCCTAATCTCTCTCCTTCTGCCTCTCTCCCTCCTCCCCACCACCCTGTGCTGCCACGTGGAAGGAGCAGGGCATGCCACCTGTCATCAGCGGCAGCCCCACAGAAAAGGCCATCCTCGCCTGGGGAGTCTCGGTATGCTACCCGTCCCACCCCCCTCCTTCCTTTATTGATGTTACTTCCAGAAGCTCTTAATAGCTACTGGTCCCGCATCTAACCAGTTCAAAACGCGAGACCAAGCAGCAGTGCGAGGTGCTGGCAGTGCAGCCCTTCACCTCCAGCACTACTACTGCATCTTGCGCTAACCGTTCCCCTAAACCACCCCCATTTCACCTCCCGTGCGCACACCAGTTTGGTATGCGCTTTCACGAGACCAAGGACCAGTGCGAGGCGCTAACAACACAGCCCTTCACCTCCAGCATCTTGCGCTAACCATTCCCCAACCTCTCCACCATTTTCATCTCCCGTGCACGCACCAGTTCGGCATGCGATTCCACGAGACCAAGGACCAGTGCGAGGTGCTGGCAGTGCAGCCCTTCAGCTCCACACGGAAGCGCATGGGCGTGCTCATCCGCACCGCTGACTCCCCCTCCACCACCACCACCACTGATTCCCTCACCACCCCGGGAAGCCTGCGCGTGCACTGGAAGGGCGCAGCAGAGGTGATCCTGCAGCAGTGCGGACACTACGTCAACTCCCTCGGAAGCATCGTGCCTCTCACTGAGCCCAAGCGCATGGAGCTCGAGCGAGCTCTCCGCGACATGGGCAAGGAAGCCCTGCGCACGCTGGGGTTCGCCTTTCGGGACTTTGACAAGCGCACGGGCGTGGAGGGCATGCCCAAGAGAGAGGACGGGAGTGTGGGGGTACCAGAGGACGACCTGGTGTATGTGGGGTTCGTGGGGATTAAGGACCCGTGCCGGGTGGAGGTGCCGGACTCGGTGCAGCACTGCCAGAACGCGGGCATTGTGGTGCGCATGGTGACGGGCGATAGTGTGGAGACGGCCACGGCTATTGCCACGGAATGCGGGATTCTCACCGCGGGCGGCACTGTCATGGACGGCGCTCAGTTCCGTGCCATCCATGAGAACGACCTCCCCGCCACCGTCGACCGCCTGCAGGTGGGCTTTGGGTGCAAGTGGGTTGGGAGGTGAGTGAGTGCAAGCGGCCGTAGGTGGGTGGCAATGGCATCATCCTCACGGCAGGCGGCACTGTCATGGATGGCGCTCAGTTCCATGCCATCCACGAAAACAACCTTCCGGCCTCTGTTGACCGCCTTCAGGTGGGCTTTAGGGTGCTAGTGGGTGCAGATTTGCAGGTGGGCGGAAGTTTTCGTATCTTCATCTCCTCATCCCCCCTGCCCCTCCCTCTTCCTCTGTGTTCCGCCCTTGACTGAATCCTCTCCACCACCTCTTACCAAACCTCCCCCATCTACCCACTCCTCCTTCCCGCCCATGCCATCCCGTCCCCTCCATCAGGTGCTGGCACGTGCATCACCCACGGACAAGCTTCAGCTGGTGCGAGCGCTCAAGGAGATGGGGCATGTGGTGGCCGTCACAGGCGATGGCACCAACGACGCCCCTGCGCTGCACGAGGTGCGTGCCACCGTTATGGGTGGTGGGGATGCATGGGATATGGGTGGTGGGTGGGGGTATACATGGGGTTTGGGTGGTGGGTGGGGGGCTGCATACATGGGGTTTGGGTGTAGGGTACACGCATCATGCCTTCAACCATCATGTATCTCCACCCTGCCCATCCATCACTAAGCAATTCCATGCACATGCATGTCTCCTATGTCCCCTTTCCCCCCCTCATAGGCGGACATAGGCCTAGCAATGGGGCAGTGCGGAACAGAGGTGGCAAAGGAGAGTGCAGACATCATCATTCTGGACGACAACTTTGCATCCATCGTGCGCACCGTCGTGTGGGGGCGCTCTGTGTTCGCCAACATTCAGCGCTTCCTGCAGTTCCAGATCACAGTCAACTGTGTCGCGCTCACCCTCAACTTCATCTCCGCGGTCGTTACTGGCGATGCTCCGCTCACTGCTGTGCAGGTGCGTACCATCTTTGTTGCTGAGAATCGATCATGCACTGTAAGTCAAGTCAACTCACTGCATTCCTGGCAGGCAGTTAGGGGCCGTATTTTGAGTCGACTCAAAGCCACGGCCTCGTCCAGCACACTTTGGGGTTGTGAGCTGTCTCAAAACTGCTCTGCGCTCTGAATGCGATCAAGTCATGACATTCTCTCACGCATCACTCCCCCTGCTCTCCAGATGCTCTGGGTAGACCTGATTCAGGACACCCTAGGAGCGCTCGCCTTGGCCACAGAGCCCCCGTCCGACAAGCTGCTGGAGCAGCCGCCTGTGGGGCGCAGCCAGGAGCTGGTGTCGGCCGCCATGTGGCGCAACATCATTGGGCAGACGGTGTACCAGCTGTCGCTGCTGTGCGTGCTGTGGTTCAAAGGCATGGAGCTGCTGCAGCTGCCGGGGCCCCCAGGCGTGCCGAGGGTTATTGCCAAGGGCGGCGAGGAGATCTCTGAAGGGGAGAAGCAGCTGGTCACTATCATATTCTCCTCTTTCGTCTTCATGCAGGTGGGTCGGGGTGTTCCAGTGTTGTCTGTGTGCGGGTGTGTGTGGTGTGGAAGTGAGATGACAGTGGGATTGCTGTGCGTGCTGTGGTTCAAAGGCATGGAACTGCTGCAGCTGCCGGGGCCCCCAGGCGTGCCGCGCGTGATTGCTAAAGGAGGCGAGGAGATCTCTCAAGGGGAGAAGCAGCTGGTTACCATCATCTTCTCCTCCTTCGTCTTCGTGCAGGTGAGCGCAGATGTTCTGGGGGGGTCTCAAAGCCTCTCTTCATGCACGTGTGTGCGGCGAGGGGAGGGATAGTAGTGGTGATGTGATGAGGTTGGCTATCTAGTGGGTGTGGTAGTCGTGGGGCTTGAATGCGGGTCATAGCGGAAACTGCAGTTGGGCACCATCATCTTCTCCTCCTCCCTCTTTCATGCAGGTGTGCCGGTCAGAACTACCTCCTAACCTCTCCCATCTTTCTACCTTTCCACCTTCACCTTTCCTCCGCCCACCAGATATTCCACCGGCTGATTTGGCGCAGGCTGGAGGAGTGGAACTGTGAGTAGCTTTGTGTCACAAGGTCAGGGTCACCCGCGAAACCTTTCCCGTCCCTCTGCCCTTCCACCTTTCCCGTCCCTCTGCCCTTCCACCGTCCCTCTGCCCTTCCACCGCCACCCTTCTTCGACCTACCCAGATATTCAACCAGCTGAACTCGCGCAAGCTGGAGGAGTGGAACGTGTTTGAGGGGCTGCTCGTCAACCGCCTCTTCATCCTCATCGTCTCCATCGAGCTCTCCGTGCAGGTCAGCGCTGGTCAATGCTGGTCAACGCAGGTGAGTGCAGGTCAGCTCTGGTCGAAGCAAGTCAATGCTGGTCAACCGCCTCTTCATCCTCATTTTCTCCATCCAGCTTTTCGTGCAGGTCAGCACTGCTCAGGTCAATGCAGGTCCCTGCGAGAAAGTTGTTGCTGGTTAGTTTTGGTAATTATTAGTCAATGTATGTCAGTAGTGGTCAATGCTGTGTGCTGCTGCGGGTCAGTGAAAAGGCTGCAGTGCGCCTCATATAACTTCTATGTCCTTCCCCAACAAATCCAATCTGTGCTCATTCCCCCCCTCTCTCCCTTCCTCTCTCTTGCCCTGCACTGCAATTTCACCGGCTGCTGGTGGAGCTTCTGGGCAAGTTCACCAAATGTGAGCGCCTGGCATGATTCGTGTTTTGAGTCGACTCAAAAACACGGCTCAATTGCGCCGGCTGTGAGCGCCTGGCATGATTCGTGTTTTGAGTCGACTCAAATCAAAACACGGCTCAATTGCGCCGGCTGTGAGCGCCTGACATGAGCTCTTGTTGTGAAGTCCACCCTTTGCCCCACCATCATCTCCCTTCCTCCCTCCTTGCCCACATCTCCCAAACTCACCCCAGGTGCTGCTGGTGGAGCTGCTGGGCCAGTTTGCTGGCTGTGAGCGCCTGGCAACGCCCCTTCTTTCTTCCTCCTCCTCCCTCACTACCTTTCCCAGGTGCTGCTGGTGGGACTGCTGGGCAAGTTTAGTGACTGACATGATGTGATAGTTACTCCCTACGCTCACTCTCTATTCTGTCCCTCTCTCTCTCTTGCCCCTCACTACCTTTCCCAGGTGCTGCTGGTGGGGCTTCTGAGAAAGTTCGCGGGCTGTGTGCGGCTGGGCTGACATCATGTTAAGGCCCCTCCCCAACACTTCCACCCCCTGCTCACACTCTCTCTCCCTCCCTCCTCCTTTCTCAACCACCCCCGTTTCCTCAGGTGCTGCTGGTGGAGCTGCTGGGCCAGTTCGCAGGCTGTGTGCGGCTGACGCTGCTGCAGTGGGCGCTGTGCTTCGCCCTGGGGGCTGGCTGTGTGCCCTTTGGCATGCTCTCCAAGCTCATCCCCCTGCCAGGTATGCTTCACATTGCATGCGTGGCTCCACACTTGAGAAAAAATGAATGGCACATGTACAGGAAGCATGCGGCATGCTCTCCAAGCTCACCCCCCCTGCCAGGCACTGCTGGCACTGTATGCACGGTACATGCGCATGATTGGTAAGCTTGCAATCCTGAGCTGTGTGCAGCTGATGCTGCTGCAGTGGGCGCTCTGCTTCGTGCTGGGGGCTGGCTGCATGCCCTTTGGCATGCTCTCTAAGCTCGTCCCCCTGCCAAGTACTGCTTTGCATTCTGTGCTTACTGGTACACTCGGTTGGATCTTCGTTCATGGTACACTGCCATGTTCTGTACACTGTCCCCATTCATGTATTCCCGGAAATGATACTGACTGTTTCCCCCGCTTGCCTTGTCCGTGCCTCATCATTCTATCTGCAGGAAAACGCCATGCTCGGAAGAAGATACTTTTTGGCCGGAACGCCAACCAGGGCTTCGAGCGCCTAGATGAAGCCCAATGATTGAATTCTCTTCAAGGTTTATCGGGAAATATTAGTCTTAAACCACAAAGGAGGCTTCAAATTGTCGAGCCTCTTGCTTGCATGCCGATTTTGAACGTGAGGGCATGGTAATCCTGGTTTACAGAAAACGTATACGGTAAAATGATGAAACTACTATGTAGAGGGGAAATAAGTACTTGGAAATCATTATCTTAAGGGAAATTACCAGAGCTGCTGATTGTTTGTTATTTGGCTGTACTTAAATTTGTTGATCCTTCAAGTGCGAACTAAAACATCACTACGTAGAAGTGTAGTTGAGATTGACATCCCGGTAAGAGCAAACTATGCAGGTAGCGAGGACATCTGGGAGCATGTTGCACGTTGCTCACGCCAATTCAATTTCTTCCCGCAATTCGCGCCATCGACCGCAATTGCTCTCTCGCAATCTATTTCATTAGCGGCTGATCCGCTTAGCTGCGCAATTCTCACCCTTTCTCGCTCGTACTCAAACGTGACGCGTCGTGCGATTCGCTCTGATGTCCGCAACAGCGGCGGGTCGCGCCGTGTGGTTCGACGCGCACTGTCATCTGCAGGACCCGCGCATCGCCGCGCGCGCCGCGCGCATCGTGGGCGACGCGGCCGACGCGGGCGTCCAATGGATGGTCTGCAACGGCACGCATGAGGTCAGCAGTGGACATGAATCCGTCAGAATTTACACGAATCGTGTCACCAGCGGCATTCAATTCAACCGACGCCTCTTATAGCCTCCCCCGCACTCCGCCCCCACCCGTTCAAGAAAAATATTCTCTTACTCTCACGCTCCCATTCTCGCCCTCGCCTCCCCCTCCCATGCCCCATGCTTCCCATGCATGGGCGGGAATCAGGGGGACTGGGATGCTGTGGCTGCCTTAGCTGCTGCCCACCCTTGCGTCATCCCATCCTTCGGCCTGCACCCATGGTATGATGTTATGGCCTGCACCCATGGTATGATGTTATGGCCTGCACCCATGGTATGTGAATGTACATGCATGGCACATGACAGATGGCGCATGGTGCATGACAGATGGCGCATGGTCCATGACAGATGGCGCATGGTGCATGACAGATGGCGCATGGTGCATGACAGATGGCGCATGGTGCATGACAGATGGCGCATGGTGCATGACAGATGGCGCATGGTGCATGACAGATGGCGCATGGTGCATGACAGATGGCGCATGGTGCATGACAGATGGCGCATGGTGCATGAGTCATGGCGCATGGCGCATATCCCGAAACGGATACCACGTGATCATGCATGCACATTATTCATGCCCCGCACTACACGGCATGTCCCCATGCCCGCCCGCCCCATGTCCCCATGCCCACCCCATGCCCCCATGCCCGCCCATGCCCCCATGCCCGCCCATGTCCCCATGCCTGCCCATGCCCCCATGCCCGCCCATGCCCCCATGCCCGCCCATGCCCCCATGCCCCACCCATGCCCCCATGCCCCACCCATGCCCCCCTATGCCCCCCCCCCCCTAAGGTCCCATACCTCCATATACCCCCCATGCTCCCATTTCCCCATATCCCCATGCCCCCATGCCCCCCCATGCCCCCATGCCCCCATGCCCCATGGGCCATGCCTCCATGCCCCCATGCCTCCATGCGTCCATGCGTCCAGGTACATCCACTCTCGGTCGCCCCAGTGGCTGCAGCATCTGGAGGAGCAGCTCTCAGCCCATCCCCACGCAGCCATGGGCGAGGTGGGCACTCCATGCTCCTGTATCTGAGTCGACACAATATCAGAATGCACCTCCAGTCCCCAAGCTGGGACTGCAGCTCCAGTCCCGGAGGTGGGACTGCAGCTCCAGTCCCGGAGGTGGGGCTGCAGCTCCAGTCCCGGACGTGGGACTGCAGCTCCAGTCCCGGAGGTGGGACTGCAGCTCCAGTCCCGGACGTGGGACTGCAGCTCCAGTCCCGGACGTGGGACTGCAGCTCCAGTCACGGACGTGAGACTGCAGCTCCAGTCCCGGACGTGGGACTGCAGCTCCAGTCCCGGAGGTGGGACTGCAGCTCCAGTCCCGGAGGTGCGACTGCAGCTCCAGTCCCGGACGTGGGACTGCAGCTCCAGTCCCGGACGTGCGACTGCAGCTCCAGTCCCGGACGTGGGACTGCAGCTCCAGTCACGGACGTGGGACTGCAGCTCCAGTCACGGACGTGGGACTGCAGCTCCAGTCCCGGACGTGGGACTGCAGCTCCAGTCCCGGACGTGCGACTGCAGCTCCAGTCCCGGACGTGCGACTGCAGCTCCAGTCCCGGAGGTGGGACTGCAGCTCCAGTCCCGGACGTGGGACTGCAGCTCCAGTCACGGACGTGGGACTGCAGCTCCAGTCCCGGAGGTGGGACTGCAGCTCCAGTCCCGAAGCTGGAAACCTGTCAGACAGCAGCAGCAGCTGTGGCAGCGGCAGCGGCAGCTGCCATGCAGCGGCAGCGGCAGCGCCAGGCAGACTTGCATGGCAGCTGGAAATCTGTCAACAGTGGCAACAAAAGTGGCAGCGGCAACGACAGAGGCAGCAGGGGAGCGGAGTTGGAGGAGCAGGTGGAGGTGATGTGCGAGCAGCTAAAGCTGGCTCGCCGCTTGCAGCGCAGTGAAGGACCAAACCGCTCCTCGTTGCCAAACCGTCCCATTTTTGTCCGCCTGTCCTGCACCTCAACCCATCTTTCCCAGGCAGGCTTGCATCGTAGCAGGAATGCCAGCAGCGGTAGCAGCAGCAGCAGGGGGTCAGCAATGGAGGAGCAAGTGGCAGTGATGTGCGAGCAGCTGCAGCTGGCCCGCCGCTTGCACCGCCCCATCGCCCTGCACTGCGTTCAGGCGTATGGGCACATGCTCACAGCCCTGCAGCAGGTACGGCACTGCAGCAAGAGTGGCGCTGCAGCAAGAGTGGCGCTGCAGCTAGTGTGGCGCTGCAGCTAGTGTGGCGCTGCAGCTAGTGTGGCGCTTCAGCTAGTGTGGCGCTGCAGCTAGTGTGGCGCTGCAGCTAGTGTGGCGTTATTGAAACACTGTGCCCCATCGCCCTGCACTGCGTTCAGGCATACGAACACATGCTCCCGGCGCTACAGCAGGTATGGTGTTGAAACAGGTACGCTGTTCAAACAGGTACGGTTTTACAGTGGGCATATGGACAGATGCTGCATTTTGTCAACGGCCCACCCAACATGCACCTTGAATGTGACCTTCATAGAGGATACCTGCATTTTATCCATGTGCCTTGAATACCTTTGTTGTTCTCGCTTCACCACTCATAATCTCTCCCTGCCCCTCTCTCCCCCACCTTCTCTCCCCCCCACAGCACAGCCCACTCCCAGCAGGAGTCATTCTGCAATCATTCAACGGCCCTCCAGCCAGAAATGCCTTGAGCAACATCCGTGCTCCCATTCCACCCCTCGTGCCCTCTCCCTCCCTCCACCCCTCCTCACAGCACGGCCCGTTCCCAGCAGGAGTCATTCTGCATTCCTTCAACGGCCCACCAGACATGATCCCAGCACTCGTCTCTCTCAACGCCTTCTTCTCCTTCTCCCGCCTCTCCGCCTCCTCGCCCCCCCACAAGCTCGCACACCTCCTGCACCAGGTATGCCCCCCACAACCTCTGCTTCTGCACTGCAAAAGCAGATACTCGTGTCTCAATCTACATCTCCCTCTCAAATCCGTGTACCTGACCTGTCCTTTACGGGGCTGCTGTCACCCACCCAGCTCACTCACTCTCTCCCCTCTCCGTACACCTCCCCCTGCGCATTCCACCCCCCCAGGTGCCTCGAGACCGCCTCCTACTGGAAACAGACTCACCTGACGGCCTCCCCACACCCCCCTGACCCATCTCCTACTCGCCTGCTGCCACCCGCCTCACCCACACTTTCCCCTCCCACTTCGATTAAATCCCCCCCCCCCGCACCTTCCACCCCTCCAGGTGCCTCTAGATCGCCTCCTACTGGAAACAGACTCACCTGACGGCCTCCCCCCTGCCAGGCACCAGGGGGACGGGGGCAGGACTGGGAGGGGCGGGGGAGAAGAGGGGAAGGCGGGGAGGGGCGGGGATGAGGGGTGCAGGAGGAGGGAGTCTCATTCTGAGGCGCGGCAACGAGGGGAGAGTGGAGGAGGCGAGAGGGATGGCATGGAAGGGGAGAGAGGAGAGGAGAGAGGAGAGAGGAGAGAGGAGAGAGGAGACAGGGATGGAGGGGGTTGGGGAGAGAGGAGAGGAAAGGGCGGGGAGAGGGCCGGGAGAGGAAGAGGAAGAAGGCAGGAGAGAGGTGGAGGGCACCATTGGAGAGATGTGGAGTGGCGATGATTCTGCCTTCAACTCGCCGGCTACCATTGGCCTGGTGCGAGGGCACTGTCGCTGAGGCACACTCACACACTCCCACATGCCACACACTCCCACATGCCACACACTCCCACATGCCACACACTCCCACATGCCACACACTCCCTTCCCACGTGAACTCAATCTCATCCCACATGACACACACTCATGCATGTTAAACACTCACGCATGACACAAGCACCATGAGATATGGCTCTAGGCGCCTCTCTTATCCCTCCCATCTAGCCTTCCCTACCCACATCTCCCTTCTTCCTACTGACATCTCCAGTTTACCCACTTTCACCCGCCTTCCTTCTCCCTTTTCCCTTCTTTCTCCTCCCACCTCTCTTCCCCCTTGTCTATCCCCCCCCTGCCCCCGTGCAGGTGTGTGAGATGGTGGCGAGCAGCATGGGCAGGTCCAAGGAAGAGGTAGCAGCAGCAGCATTCGCCAATGCTGTTCGCCTCTTCTCCTACCCTGGCTCACGTCTCTCTTCGTCAAAGACGCCTTAAACTTCCGACTCGAAGACCCTGGCACAGGACTCGCAGCATTTTCATTTTGAGGTGTCCCTGCCACAACTTACTTTGGTTAGTGTGTCTGCATGTATACACTCTTGTGAATAGGGTGCCTAGTTTCTGGACGTGAAAGTCCTGTGGTTAGAGTGCGAGGTTTTTATGATTTGGGCCAGGTGCCCCTGTGGCTAGAATAATTGGATTAAAGGGCCTGTGGTTGCTGTTCCCTTTTGAAGTGCTGTGATGCACAAACCCTGTAGTCTTTGTGCTTGTTAGTTAGTGCTCTGTACCACAAGCCCTGTAATTGGCGTGCCAGGGGGCAGAAGCCCTGTATTCAGTGTCCCTGTCGTTAGCGTGCTGCGCAAGCCCTGTATAAGTGTCCCAGTAGTTGGTGTGCCTGAGCACTCAAGCCCTGTATTTAGTGTCCCTGTAGTTAGCGCCTGGATGCACACGCCCTTTATTACCCTGTGTCCTTGTATAGTTAGCGTTCCTGGGTGCACAAGCCCTGTATTTAGTGTCCCTGTAGTTACGGTACCTGGGTGCACAAGCCCTGTAGTTACTATCCCTGCAGTTAGCGTGCATGCGTGCACAATCCCTGTAGTTAGAGTCCCTGCGTGCCTAGGTGTGCAAGCCCTGTATTTTGGGTCCCTGTACTTAGCGTTCCTGGGTGCACAAGCCCTCTGTTCCTGTAGTTAGCATGCCTGGGTGCACAAGCCCTGTAGTTAGTGATCAGGAAGTTTGCGCCAGGGGAGGGTGTGTCGCAGGGGGAGGAAGGGGAAGGGGCAATGCAAGGAGTCCTACGCAGGGGGAGGGGGATTGGAGGGGGAGGGAGGGGGATACCACACTTGAGAGTGTTACTAACCTAGATATCCTATATCCTCTTTAAACTAGTTGAGCTATGTGGTCTTCATCCTCCTGTCTTGGCTTCCACATGGAACTGCTTCGGTTGTCCTGCAAGCAGAGGAGTGGAGGCAAGGCATACGAGATTTGATTTTCAGCACATGATAAAAAAGGATATGATTTGGTGTGCTGTGCGTTGTCCAGCTTGGGTACATGATTAAATGGTCTGGGTGTCCACACAAGGAGCATGATTACATATGACACATTGGGTGGAGCAGGAAGTTTGCGCCAGTGAGTGTGATGCAGAAGAGGAGGACACGGCAGGTTGCAGTGACCTACCAGGGAAGAAGGCTCAGCTCATGTGCTTGTCTCGTGCCAAGCTCAGCTCGCACTTCAGTACTGCTGCCAAGCTGTTTCTCCGCCCACAACGTTTTGACCACATCTGAAGGAGGAAACACGAGAGGAAAGGCATGTGAGAACAGCATGTGAAACGGCATGTGAGACGGCATGTGAAACGGCATGTGAAAGCAAAGGAGAGGAAGAGGGCGAAAAGCAAGGAATGAGAAGGCAGACGAGGGAAGGCGGCCAGAGGAGGGAAGGTGGTACAAGAGAGAAGCAAAGGGAAAAGGGAAGGCAGAGTGCACAATTGAGAATAAAAGGGGAGGAAAAAGGCAGAGAAGAAGAGGGTTGAGTGAGCAGCCTTGCCGTGAAAAGAGAAGAGGATCATCTTTGCCGTGAAAAGAGAAGAGGATCATCTTTGCCTTGTCTGCCTTGCCCGTGCCTGAAGTCCGTCCCATGCCACCACACCACTGCCGTCCTTGCCCTGTCCGTCTCATGCCACCACCGCCGTACTTGCCTGGAGGAGGAAGCACAGGGGCAGAGGAGGATACGAGAGCAGGGCAGGTGGCACTGTGTTACTCCTGACAAGCCGTTTCTCCATCACATCTGATGGAGGAAACACGAGAGGTAAAGGCATGTGAAAGGAAAGGAGAGGAATCTTCGAAAAATGAGGCATATAAAGGTGGCATCGGAGAACGATGCAATTTAAAGGCTGACATCGGGACGTTGGGACAGAGGAGAAGGGGGTTGAGTGAGCAGACTTACGATGAGACGAGGATGTCTGACTTGGCCTTGCCTGAAGTCCGTCCCATGCCACCACTGCCGTCCTTGCCTGGAGGAGGAAACGCAGGGAGGGAGGAGGATATGAGAGGAGAGCAGGTGGCAGGAATGGAAGGCAAGAGTGTAGGACGCACAGTGCATTATGAGACGGGGGCCAGGAAGGGATCAGGAGAGAGTTCAGTTGATTCGGCCTTGCTTGTTGCTGCTTGATACTGTTGCTGGTGCCGCAACTACCCTGTTGTGCTAGGCTGTAGGACAAAATAGGGAAGGAGGAGACAGGGAAGGTATGAGAGAAGAGAAGCAGTGGGAGAGGAGGAAGAAGAGGGCGCGAGCAACGCAGCAGAGGGCGCGAGCAACGAAGCTGAGGGCGCGAGCAATGCAGCTGAGGGCGCGTGCAACGCAGCAGAGGGCGCGAGCAACGCAGCAGAGGGCGCGAGCAAAGCAGCTGAGTGGGCGTGCAACGCAGCTGAGGGCGCGTGCAACGCAGCAGAGGGCGCGAGCAAAGCAGCTGAGTGGGCGTGCAACGCAGCTGAGGGCGCGTGCAACGCAGCTGAGGGCGCGAGCAACGCAGCTGAGGGCGCGAGCAACGCAGCTGAGGGCGCGAGCAACACAGCCGAGGGCGCGAGCAACGCAGCAGAGGGCGCGAGCAACGCAGCTGAGGGCGCGAGCAACGCAGCTGAGGGCGCGAGCAACGCAGCACAGGGCGCGAGCAACGCAGCAGAGGGCGCGAGCAACGCAGCTGAGGGCGTGAGCAACGGAGCAGAGGGCGCGAGCGACGCAGCTGAGGGCGCGAACAACGCAGCAGAAGGCGCAAGCAACGCAGCTGAGGGCGCGTGCAACGCAGCTGAGGGCGCGAGCAATGCAGCTTAGGGCGCGAGCAACGCAGCATTGCAGCAGAGGGCGCAAGCAACGCAGCAGAGGGCGCGAGCAACGCAGCAGAGGGCGCGAGCAACGCAGCAGAGGGCGTGAGCAATGCAGCTGAGGGCGCGAGCAACGCAGCTGAGGGCGCAAGCAACGCAGCAGAGGGCGCGAGCAGCAAAATCAAAGAAGCAAAAAAGCAATCAGGCCGAGCAGCGGACAGAGAAGCCAGCAGCAATAGACAGAAGCAAATGAGAGAGCAGACGAAGTGACACGGAGGAGTGGGGGATAGAACGGGTGGAATCACATGGTGGAGCGAAAAAGAGTGCAGGTGCAGGTAAAGGGATGCATAACATACCACGATGGCAGTAAGGTCACGGGTGTGGGTGCTGAGGACTGATAGTGACTGGCGTTGACTGTGTCTGACTGAGGCCGACTGATGTTGACTGATGTTGAACGGAGCCGTGCTGCTGCATCCACTCCTCTGCTGCTCTACCGCCGGCATTCCATTTGCTCTGAGACCAGAGGACGCATGGGGGAGAAGGAGATGCGAGGAGATTTGGACTCGAACAGAGGGCAGGCTACGTACTGAGAATAAATGAAGCAGCAAGCATGACGTGGATGCGCATGTGTATTACAGCGAGAATCGAGAGGTGGGAGGGGGAACGGGGAAGGCGCATGGCGACAGTGGCCCACGGCACTAGAGCAGCGAGGACTGGACGATAGGATAAAAGGGCAAGGGAGATCTTACCGGGAGATCTCTTGTCCTACCGTCCTGTGCTCCCTCTCATCCTCCACTTCCTCTCCTCCTCATCTGCTCCCTCTTTCCCTCCTCTTCTCCTCTACTTTTCCTCCACGTCTGCTCCTCTGCTCCTCTGCTCCGTTGCTCTCTATTCTTCAAGTCAAAACACTCCTGCAAATACATCCTACATGTAAAGAGATAGATCCTACAATTACAGGCTACAGCAGCCTAAATTCTGCACTCTACAAAAGAGCTGCAGCCTACAGCATACAGCCTGTGCCATACATAGAGATACAGCCTACAGCCTACAGCCAACAGCATGCACTATATATCACGGCAAGAGTTACAGCAGATCAAACTTATCTTGACAATTCACAGAGTTGACCTTCCAAAAGTTAACCTTTCTTCGTCCTTTCCATTTAGCAGATCATCATTCATTGCTTGTTTTTGTTATCCCTTTCTGCGTGCATCAGGTTAGGCGCTGTAGTCAGAGTGGGGTTTAAGGTACCTGTAGTTAGGCGCTGCCCTGTAGTCAGAGTGGGGTTAGCGTACCTGTAGTTAGGCGCTGCCCTGTAGTCAGAGTGGGGTTTAAGGTACCTGTAGTTAGGCGCTGCCCTGTAGTCAGAGTGGGGTTAGCGTACCTGTAGTTAGGCGCTGCCCTGTAGTCAGAGTGGGGTTAGCGTAATAGAGGCGCTGCCCTGTAGTCAGAGTGGGGTTAGCGTACCTGTAGTTAGGCGCTGCCCTGTAGTCAGAGTGGGGTTAGCGTACCTGTAGTTAGGCGCTGCCCTGTAGTCAGAGTGGGGTTAGCGTACCTGTAGTTAACGAGTCCCGCCAGATGAAGCTTCCACCAGTGCCAGTGGCACCGCGCTGCGCCATTAGCAGCACCCTCAGGCACCGCAACATCGCACCCCTCCACCCCAATTGGATTCACGCTGCTGGACTGAGATGGGTAGAGAGAAGCAAATGAAAGTGAAAGTGGCAGGGATGGGTAGAGGGGGGATGGGTGGAGGGAGCAGGTAGGGGAGGTGAAAGAGGCAGGGAGAGGAAATGAGAGAGCAAATGAAGGGAACATCGGGAGAACAGGAGAAATGGAAGAAATAACGGATGAATGCATGAGTGTGAAACGAGTGCTGATGCTAGATGTCAAACCAGAGGCTGGATGGGCCACGGCTGTGTCGAGTTTCGCTCTCGGAGTGTTGCTCCTGAGTGTTCCACTCCTTTAGTCCTGGATGCGGCTGATGAGAGGGAGAAAAAAGGATACGGGATGCCATAAACTGGTCCAGGGATGGAAGTAAGCTGTGAAAGATAATCACAAGCGACAGTTGTTGCTCTTCAAGTGTTGCTCTTCAAGTGTTGCTCTTCAAGTGCTGGCTCTCGGAGTGTTGGTGTTGCTCCTGAGTGTTCCACTCCTTTTGTCCTGGAACCAGGGAATGACCAGAGCAGGTGAGAGGGAGAGAAAAGGATACGGGATGTGACAAGCAGTGATCTGGTCCAAGCAGTGAAAGATAATCACAAGTGACAAGGCAAAACTGGAACAATTCACAAGTGAAACCAAGGTGTAAGGATGCAATGAAAACAGAGAGGCGATGGTAGCTCATGGCACTAGGTTGGCGAGCTAGCAGGCAAGTGGGACGAGACGCGGGCGTGAGTGTGAGTGCATTCTAACCCTCTAGGACTCTAGTGTGAGCTCAAGCCGCCCCAGTGCCATGTGCTACCATCGCCACACGAACGTTTTTAATACCTTCATGCGAAGGCGGCGTTTTGGTTCGAAGCATGCTTGAAAAGAGAGGCTGGGCAATTGTGAACACGAATTACAAGGTAAAGCGGCGGTAAGGATGGCAAGGGTTGAGGAGGGAACTTAGCGGGATTCAGAAGCTGCTCGTCGCCATGTTAATGTCAGCAGCAGCCCTCCCAGCAGCAACACTCCCAGCAGCAGCACTCAAGGTCGCTGGGCGCGTGAGGGAGCGGCGTGGTCAGCAGGGCATGCAGGAGGCTATGACTGCCTGCCGTGCGTCATCCCACCGCCCTCCCTTCCACAGCCCTGTGCGAGAGGGGGAAAGCTTAGGAGAGGGAAGGGAGCGAGTGGGAGAGAGGAGAGAAGGCAGAAGGGGGCAGGAATTGAAGAAGTTAGTCTAATATAAGCATGAGCGTGATTGACAAATTGTAAAGCGGCAGGGATAACAGGAGGAGAACACAACGGAGGGATAATATAGTGAACGCTGGAAGATACAAACATTAGTGAAAGAGGAGGCGATGGTAGCCCATGGCACAAGGTTGGCGAGCTAGCAGGCAAGTGGGACGAGACGCGGGCGTGAGTGTGAGTGCATTCTAACCCTCTAGGACTCTAGTGTGAGCTCAAGCCGCCCCAGTGCCATGTGCTACCATCGCCACACGAACGTTTTTAATACCTTCATGCGAAGGCGGCGTTTTGGTTCGAAGCATGCTTGAAAAGAGAGGCTGGGCAATTGTGAACACGAATTACAAGGTAAAGCGGCGGTAAGGATGGCAAGGGTTGAGGAGGGAACTTAGCGGGATTCAGAAGCTGCTCGTCGCCTTGTTAATGCCAGCAGCAGCCCTCCCAGCAGCAACACTCCCAGCAGCAGCACTCAAGGTCGCTGGGCGCGTGAGGGAGCGGCGTGGTCAGCAGGGCATGCAGGAGGCACGCACGCCGCTGTGACTGCCTGCCGTGCGTCATCCCACCGCCCTCCCTCCCCGCACCACGCTGCCACAGCCCTGTGCGAGAGGGGGAAAGCTTAGGAGAGGGAAGGGAGCGAGTGGGAGGGAGGAGAGAAGGCAGAAGGGGGCAGGAATTGAAGAAGTTAGACTAATACAAGCATGGGCGTGATTGACAAATTGTAAAGCGGTAGGGATAACAGGAGGAAAACAAAACGAAGGCATAATACTGTGAGAGCAAAAGCTGGAAGTTTAAACAACAGGTGGCACAGTGAAAGGGTAGGCGATGGTAGCTCATGGCACTAGGTTGGCGAGCTAGCAGGCAAGTGGGACGAGACGCGGGCGTGAGTGTGAGTGCATTCTAACCCTCTAGGACTCTAGTGTGAGCTCAAGCCGCCCCAGTGCCATGTGCTACCATCGCCACACGCCACCCATCCCTCATTCAACTTTTGATCCCTCCCACGCATAAGCGACGATTTTGTTTCGCGCAAGATTTGATAAGCGAAAAAAGAAAGGAAACCAAGCAGGAAGGAGACAGGGTATGAGAAACTCTTAGCCGTCTGACGGGCAGTCGCATGAGGAGCAGAGGGACGTTGACACGGCCAGCAGCAGCCCTCCCTGCAGTAGTCCAGCAGCTCGGCAGCAGTGGTCAGCAGGGCCAGCCCAGGCCGTGCGTCATCCCACCACTCGCCTCTCCCGCTCTCACGCTGATCCCACTGCTCCTCCCAGCTCCCTGCTGCTGCCTCGCCGCCCAGTAGATGCGCTGGTAGAGGGATGCAGGCAGGAAGAGAGGAGAGGGAATCAGGTTAACGGAGCAGAGAGTTGAGGTGAGAAGACATGTGATAAGCAGGGGTACGCAAGGGAAAAACGGCAAACATGCATGCAGTGGAAGGTGAGCAGAGTGGAACGACAAGTGAGTGGTCGGGAGGGGAGGGAGGGGAAGTAGCATGGAGACGGTAAGGCCCAGGGGCAGCATGGCAGCGAGCTACGGCAGCGAGGGTGGACTGGGGAAGAGAGGGACGCGTGCATGGCATGAATACACTGCTACTCTATGCTACACCCACTCTGCTCTCTCGAATGGTCCTTTCATTGATGTATATATTGGGGTACAGGTAATTGCAAGGCAGGCATGAGCTAAGCTATTGCACATGGGACTAACCTTTCTGACCGTTCCATTCCCTGCCCTATCTAGCCCTCCAGGGTTGCAAAGCAGTCCCCTGGGTTCAACACCCCCTCCGGCCCCCCAACCGGCGGGTTCTCCGCTCGTGCCGCTAGGTTCAACTTCTTGAGATAGCTAAGCGCCTGTCCCCTCTGCAGGGCGACGGACCAACGCTGCCGGTACTGGTGCAGCATTTTTGCGGCCTGGTAGGAGGTAGGGTCTGCGTTGAAAAGGTTCCTAGCAGCCGAGTCAGCAAGCATCTTGAGGAAGGTGTGGACCTCCTCGCAAGGGCATCCATAGGTCTCCACCGCTAGTGGGAAGAACCCCAACCATGGTAGGCGCGTCCGGTAGTGATCAATTTTCTTGTCAGCCATCTCCCGCGCCATCCAGCCCCGCCCCTTGGTGGCGTCCTCGTCACGGCTGCTTATCGGGTCGGTAACCGTGACGTCGCAGATGTGTACTGCGCCTGAGGTTCGGTCCCGTATCGCCAAATCCGCCTATTGCTTATCCACGGGGCAGAAAGCCACTCTCCTTATGCACTGTAAACCCCGCATCTTGAGCCATACGTATGCATTCGTCTCTGATTCCGTTGTGTGTGTCCGTCCGTCCATGTCCCGTGCCGCAGCGAAGAAGATGGTTGGGTAGCCGTTTATCCGGGATAGCGATCCTGTCACGGCAGTCGCAGCGGTCTGGTACGGGGAGGGGCAGTCCTAGCCGGAATTGCAGAGCGAAGGCAAACAGCTCTGGGGCGAGGCGGAGGGAGGGCATGTAGGGGATGGCGAGGAGCCAGTCCCCCGCTCCATATCCTGTGAGCGACAGTAGCCGCTGCGTGTGACCCTTGAGCGGGTTCAGCTCCATCTGCCTCGATGCCACCACTTGTGCGGCGTAGCGGTTGCCTTGGATGAGCAAGGCCAGGCTGTGCTGCAGCCTGTCTGTTGGCTGAACCCGCTCCGCCGCCAGCAGCTCTATGGCCTCCCGACCTAATGAGGCCTCACATTCAAGGAGCCAGCGCTGTAGCTGGTGCTGGTCTGGTCTGTCAACAGCTGGTCGTGCTAAGGTGCCGGTCAGGTGAAGGCTTGCGGGTCCTGGGAGGGTGCCGAGCAGGTTCTGCGCCTGTACAAAGCTAGCGAGGAAACTGTATTTGCCCTCCACCGCGGGGTCTGTGAGGCCTATCCCCCCAAGGGATGGCGGCAGAGAAGCCTGTCCCCACACCCTCTGTTCTTCTTCCGCCCCCCTCGGGTGGTGGACGCCGCATGCGTCTAGGAGCGTGAGGAGTTGCGCGTGGGCCCAGCGGGACCATTCGGCTTCAGGGAGGAGGTGGAGGGGTGTGGTGCGGGCCAGGTATGACACACGCCGCGAGATGCACCGCGTCAGGAGCAAATTGGCCAGCTGCGGGTTCATTTCAGCAATTTGTGGCAGTGGCGCGGCCATCTTGGCAAGCTGCTCTCGTATGAACGTAGATGCACCGTCTTCTGGGCCAATGTGGCTGCCCAAGATGCGGAGTCCCTCCGCGTTGTATGGGACCCCAGCTGGTAGGATGGACACGTCTTCCAGACTCCGGCTCCAGGCCGAGCACTTCGATGGGTTATGAGTCAGCCCCACGGCCGCCAGCTGCAGCGTGAAGTGGTTGAATGCGGCTGCACAGTCTGCCGCTGCCCCGAGAAACGTCACATCGTCCGCGTATGCCATGCACAGGACGGTGGGGAATGCAGCTGCTGTTGTTTTGAGGGCGGGGTGTACCCCGGCAGCAAACAGCAGGGGGCCCAGGGGGTCGCCCTGGCAGACGCCTGCTTGGCTTAGCAGCGGTTCGCACCCGTACTCAGCGCCCAGGTACAGCTTGGATGGCGCTCCGTAGGAGAGGCGGACCAGCGGCAGCAGTTGTTCCAGGTCAGTCCCTCGTATGGCCCTAACAATGGCTTCTCGGCTGATACTGTTGAACGCATTCGTTAAGTCTGCTTGCAGGATGAGGGCATCTTGATTCGCGCTCATGTATGCTCGTGCCGCGTGGATAATGGCCTCGCTACCTCCCTGGACTGCTACCCCGAACTGGAGCGGGAGGAAGAAGGAGCGGGCAGCGTCGGCTATGGTAATAACGCAGATTTGGCGGCGAGGCGGAGGAGGCACTCGCCAATAGCTATGGGTCTGGTTCCTCCCCCAGGTTTCTCCAAGGCGAGCAGTCTAGATGAGGTGAGTAAGTTGTTGTTGAACTTCAGCTGGGAGTGATCCGCGCATAATTGTGTTGACGAGTGCGTGAAGGTGAGTGTTGACTGCGGCATTAGTGACGGCTGCATCTCTGAGGTGTTCGAAAGTCATTCCCGATGGTCCGGCTCCTACTCCGTTTTCCGTTCTGCATAGCAGCTTCGTGAAGGCCGCCAAGTCGATGGAGGTGGGTGTAATAGTTGGGCTTGTGGTCCAGTCTATGGGCCCGTCAGAGGAAGG